GTGGGGAAGAGGAGGAGAGTGGGGGTGAGGAGGAACATGAGGATGAGGATGAGGAGGATGAGCGCGGAAGCGAGGAAAGCAGAGAGGATGGAGAGGAGCACGAAAGTGCCGCAGCTGCGACTTCGTCTTTCTCCAAGCATCGCAAGTCCAAATCCAAATCCAAGTCCAAGTCCAAGTCCAAGTCCAAGCTTATGCCAAAAGTTAAGGCGAAGAGGCACCCAGATCCGTACGGGTACACCCTCGAAGACGACCTGTACGAAGCTGCGCTCTCCGATACTCACTCTGTCCACTCTCACTCTTTGCATTCTGTCCATTCTGCGCACTCTTCCCACCCCAACTCCACCGACTCAGACGGCTCCGACTTGGACCCCGAAGGCCGCGTGCCCCTCGCGCTGCTCGACGACCTCGACAGCGACGCAGACGACGAAGAGTCAGAAGTGGAGTGGTTCGCGTGGCCTGCGGACCTTCCGCGCCAGGTTGCGAGGAGGAGGGCGGAGGAGGCGGAGAGGAGGAGGAAGGTGTTGGCGGAACAGGAAAGGGAGAGGCAGGAGACGTTGAGGCAGGAGGAGGAAGAGGAGGCGAGGAGCAGGAAGGAGGAAGAGGAGAGGAGACAAAGAGAGGAGGAGGAGGAAAAGAGAAGGAGAGAGGAGGATGTTGGGTTTAACGATCCGTGGGCAGAGGGCAACGCGTCGAGCACGCTCGTCGGTTCCTCCGCCTCCAACGTTGCGCTCAACGCCGTTACTACAACCGCGTCGACCAGCACCAGCACCATCTCATCAGCCGCGTCCATCGCCTCCGTCTCATCCATTGGGTCCGCATCGACCGCTACCGCGCCCTCCCTCGCGCGATCTACTTCTACATCCGCGCGGTCTCTGCAGTCCAATAACATTCCCCTCCCTCCCACACCCACCACCGCACCCCTTACCTCTACCCCTTCTCACAACACGTCCAGTCTGCCGCTGCAGGTCCCGCTGCCCGCGACGCTCCCGCGCACGCAGGAGGAGGAAAGGAGATGTAGCAGGCGGAAGTTGGAGCCGAGTGCGGTGTCGAGGTCGGCGTCGGCTACATCAACTGGAAGCGCGGGTGGGACAGGAGGAGGAGGGGAAAATAATGTAGTGATTACGGGTGCGGGTGGGTTGGGTTTGGATAGGAGGCCGAGTACGTTGTCGTTTCAAGGGGCGGTAGGGCTGGAGAGGAGCGCGTCGACGGCTTCGAGGGTCAGCGTCGCGCCTTCCATGTCTGCCTCTACCTCCGCGCACGGGACTGCCTCTGCATCGGCTTCGGGCACGACCTCGCTCTCAACATCCGTCTCGGGGCTGGGGTACGCCTCCAGCGCGAGCGCGAGCGGCCTGAGCACCCAGCTGAGCACGCCGCCCCGATTCCCGCGGTCGTCTGCGTCTGCGCCTGCCCGTCGGTTCGCTGCCCAGAGTCAGACGCACGCGTTGAGCTCGCCGTCGTCCTCTGAATCTTTGTCCGTCGGGCCTGGACCTGGACTTAGACCTGGCATGGGTGTGGGAGGACTAGGAAAGGGAGGAGGAGTGGGAGGGCTAGGTAGGAGACCGCTCTCGCCGGAGGACGACGAGGGGTACGAGGAGGAGGATGGGGATGCGTATGGGGATGGCGAGGGTGAGGATGGGGATGGGGACGGGGATGGGGATGGGGATGGGATGAGCTCGTCGACGACGCCGCCTAGTGCCTCTCCGCCTAGGAAGTTGACTCAAAGCCAGTACTCACGTCAAACACAACAAACACAACATGGACATCAAACCCAGCACCAGCACCAGCAGCATCCAAGTCAACATAGGAGGACGCACTCGAGGTCGGTCTCGGGCGGGTACGCGCCGTTCGCTGCTCTTTCTGCGAGTACGAGTGCGAGTGGAGGAAGTGTGCAGACGACGCCTGAAAGGGAGCGAGAAAGGGAGAGAGAAAGAGAAAAAGCGTTGGCTCATTCTTCGTCGATGCCGCTCGTTTCCGCCCAAGGTGCAGCGAGTACAGGAAATGCAATGACACCGTCGAGGAGCAGGATACCCACGCTGGCGTCGACACCTACGCGGTCGTCTTCCTTGCAGGGCACCTCCAGCTCTGCCCATATTACCCCATCGACCTCGACGCCTACACGTTCGGCCCAAACCCAACCTCAAACACCCCAACGCCAAACCCCACAAAGAGAGCGCGACCCACTCGAGAAACACATCCTGACGCCCGCGCAGATCTCCGCGATCGAGAGCGAGACGGAGGAGTGGCTCGCTTCGGGGGGTGCAGCGGCTCAGTACGCCTCAGCCTCAGCACCGCAGTACGCAAGGGTACCTCCGGTGCCCAGTATTCCTGTGCCGATCCGTACGCCGACGATGGGTGGCGGGTTGGGTATGTCAGGCTCGCCGCCTGCGCATGCCCAAAGTTCACTTGGGCGTACGGCAGGCTATGGCACGTGCACGGGTGCGGGGCTTGGGCCGAGCAAAGGCAAGGCACCTATCAGTAGTGGGGCGGGGTACGCGAGCGGGTCAGGCAGCGAGAAGGAGCGCAGTAGCGAGAAGGGTTTGAGGAAGAGACTGAGTGATCTTGGAAGGGGGTTTGGGTATAGTTCGTCGAGTCATGCTGAGAAGGAGCGGGAGAGGGAGAGGGAGAGGGAAAAGCAAGCAATCGAAGAATACGAGAGAACGACAGGGTACGCCACGCCCTCTGCTCTCAACTCGCCGTCCGCGTCTGCTCACCACACGCCCCTGAAATCGTCCAACTTGAACGTTAACGCTAACGTCGTGAATTTTGGTAGACCGATGAGCCCCACACGTCCCGTGAGCCCGACGGACCCTAGGCCGAGCCTCTCGCTCATGAGTGCCAACACGAACACCAATGCCAATGCAAGCTCGACGAAACAGAGACCAAAGCTCTCCTTACCCGGTCTTTCGGTCCTTTCGAGTGGATCGAGCAAGGCCAAGAACGCGAAAGAGGAGATCCAGAGTCCGACAAAGGGTAAACACCGACTTCGAGGTGGAGGAGGAATAACATCCTCTGCGATTGGAACAGGACTGAGTGGAGGCGTGAAGAGTCCCACGAGCAGTAGCACACCGTCCGTAGGCGCCTTCCCCTCAACTTCGACTCCGAGCGCCGGTGCGAGTGCGTATTCTTCTGGTATCGGGTCGGGGGCTTCGTTCTCTACTGGCTCGGCCTCGACCTCGACCTCGTCATATGGCGGCTCGTACGTGACCGCGGCAACACCGCATACGGTGCCGAGCTCTGCGACGCCGTACACCGCCGCTGCTGGCCCTCCAATGAGCCCCACGACCGCCAACGCGCTGTCTTACATTTCCAACCCCTCGACGAGTGGTACGAATACGAACGCCGTGGCCTCAGCCAAGGCCCTCCTCCGACGCGTGCGGTCTGGGTCAAGCCTGAAGACGCCAATGGAGGTCCACCTCGAGGAGGGGTTGCCATCTAGTGAGGAAGGTGCCGGGGTTGTTGACGCGTCCTACCCTCCGTCAAGCTACGTCCCACCCGCACCCTCCTCATCGCACGCCTCAAGTTCCACGCCTGCGCACCCGTCCGCAGCCTATCCATCTACTTCAACGCACGCGCACACCCCGAGTAATGCCGGAACGCTTAGCGCGATCAGCGTCACGACTACGACGACGTCTTCGTCTGGGGGTAGCTCCACGCTCGTTTCTGGTTCCTCTGACCCTGCGTCTGGTTCAGCGGCAGGGCAGCAACAAGCACCCCAAGGAGGGAAGAAAAAGAAAAATGCGATAGATAGGATCGTGCGGAAGTTGGATTCGACTTTGGATTTCGTCGAGGGGCTGTGATTTGGGTTTTGCGGGCTTTCGGTTCCGGTGAGTTTGTTCTTGGGCCGTATTTCGAGTGCGAGAACTGATTAGATTACGTGGTTTAGATGTCTCTCGTTCTCTTTCTGCTCGTGTCTCTGCTCCTCTGGTTTCTCGCTTTCGGTCTCCGCTGGTTCGCGCATGCTGATTTTCTGTACGTTCCCTTTCTCTATTTTAAAAATCGTTGGGCTGATTGATGCTATCTCCAACACGGTAGGCTCCTCGATACGTCGACACTGGTGTCACCGTTCCACTCCTGCCATCTTACCTTACTTCGTTTCTCTTATTGTCATTCGTCCCACCGTCTATTCATTCATCTGTCATCTCCCGGTCCCGTCTCCCACAAGACATCTGCAATCGCGCGCTTCTCTTTCCGTTCATCTTCATATCATTTTTATTATAATCTTTCGCCTTCGAACATCATACACGAATTTCTTTCCTTCTTTCTTTTAATTTCGTCTCATTCTCCATTCCTGCTTCGCATCAGTTTTCAATCTCTGGTCTCTCTCATCTCTTTCTATCCATCATCTCTCTTTCCACTTGCTCATCTCTCAACTCTCAGTTTTGGTCTCGGCCCCGGTTTCTCTTATGGTCTTTATGTCACTGCACTACTCATACCTTCTTACTAAGTACGCGTAGAAAAGAACGAGCTTTGTCCAACAGTGTCATACTGAATCAAATGGTGTATTTATTCCTCACAGATGCGGCAGACGTAGGTGAAAGAGGCTTTCGGGTGTGATTTGAACTGGCGAACGCCTGTGTAGTTTGAACCAATTCTGAACATAATTATTCGACCCGTAGCGTATCGTGCATAGGACAGAGAGGTTTGCTCTGAAATTGCCGCAATCGGGTAAGTTTTATGGTTACATGCCATCCCATTCGCGGACTGCTGAGTGCTTCCTTTCATGGCCTTCAGATCGCTCATAGTCACGAAGAAATTAAGAAATATGACTTTTTGCACGCATGTAGTTACGTAGTTGGCCTGAATTCTCTAGCTCCCTTTCTCAGAATCTCGACATCTAAGGGAATACAAGCCACTTAGCAACTCGTGCCACTCTTGTTGTGTGGGGCCCCAAGATCCTCTCTTTTTTGTTCATTGGCAGGCTCCTCACCCCTCCAGCCCTCCTATTGTTCTCTATGCTTCAATCTCAAGGCATACTCGGGCACGAATATGATATACACGTGCTGTTCCAGCGACCAAGCTGCTCGTATCCCCTTCGCATTGCTGAGGTAATCGCAATAGTGTTGCGGGAAAAACTCCCCTCGGTGCATGTAAATATGTAACTTACAAACGCCAGATTTTTCGCTGGTAAATAACATATATTACATACTGTAGATGACCGGCATCTCGGTCACTCTACAGTCTCCTAAAATTTGTGTGCTTGGTTTGGGGGTGTTAAAAAAACTAACAGTACTACTCAATAGGCAAGCATCTGAAGTACCTGTGTACCAATTATCAGAAATTTAAGGGAGGGTTTGAGACCTCCACGAATATTTTATTTCGATAGGTCAAAATCGGTCAAACCAGGAAGTCGGCCAGGCCCCGAGACTAGACCGATTGGTATTGGTCCCGTACACCGGTTGTAACCAGGGTCAGTTATGCTTAGTAAGCTGATGATAAGATAACCTCGGAATGCGAGGACAGTACTCGGCCACCTTGAATTGCTCTTCAAAGTTGGTCTGACCTAAATGAAAAAATGCTTCCAGTGAAAGTTAGACACCTCTATCATGAGCTGGTATTCTTATTTCGTGATTTCTGATGTTTTCCTTTCAGTTATTTAATTTGACATTTCTCATCACTCAAAACAAGAATTTTCAATTGCTTGGTGTCTTATGTTTGGAAGAAATTTGTAAAAATTAGGGGATCTTCTTTTATGCACACATATTCACCTCACAATTCATTTCACCTCTTTGTTTATGCAATAGATGCTTTGTACTAAGAGAAATCAGCAGGAACAGTCCAATCCACCTCCAAAATGACACACTCTCCAATTTTCAAGGTTGGAAGTGCAGCAATCCTTCAACATAAGAGAAATTTGCTTAATTATAAAGTAGTCACTATGAAATTCTTAAGTCCAAAGTATCTTCCTAGCAATGTGTCATGTTGTCGAGAAAAGCCCTCCGGGACCACCAGAAACATGGTATCAAATAAGGAAATCAGGCGTCACGTGTCACCAGACACAAGAGGAGGCTCATTTCTCCGTGAGGAATGGTGTTCTGTCTGCCAAAAAATGCAGTTACATTGCTCTGATACTATTATACATGAGTGCACAAAAAGAATGGAGTGAAATGAGCAACTGTGCCATCTACAAAGGCAATGACCGAGTAGCTGGTGTGACCGAGTAACCGGTTACGGACAGTAGTAAATTACCTATTTTTAACCGGTTGCACGTGACTACTTCCCAACGCCCTGTACCCACGGGCCGAGCTTGAATTCGCCTCCATCCTCAACCACCTCCTCAACCACAGGCGTGAATCTGTCCTTCTTTATCCTCCTGAAAGCTGGTGCATCGGTGAGGATCTCCTCCAGCTCCTCTGACTCCATCTCGATCTCATCGTCGGACGAATCAAAAAGTAACGAGTCGGAAGAGGGTGGTGGGCGTAACGGTGCGTTCGGGTCTTCGTCCTTGCCTCTCAATACAACATCTTCCTCATCTTCAGATTCATCGTAGTCGGGTGCAGCTTTCCCATCGTCATTGTCGTTCTCAATACTGCGAAGTAGGCGATTGATGTCAAAGAATTTGAGGAGAGGATTAGGATGCGAGGACTTCCGAAGCTGATATGAGGATCAGCTAGGAAACGGAGCGTGCTGGATATGAATGGTACGTACCTTCCTCGGTTTCTCTCCTTTATAATATCCGTTTATCTGAGCCATTGCAATTACAGTTGGCACCTGCTGGCGATTGCACTGAGCTGTGTTCAGGAGAGTTATTGATGACATGGTGCGTTCATTGGCCATTGAATGTGGAACAGCAGCATATAATTTCACCGCTATAGCCTGTGATTCCCTGAAAATTGTCAGTTACATGCCAACTCGACAGGAAAGGCACATACCGCAAGAATCCCGCCGTTCGAGGTGCCAACGAAGGCTTGCCACCAGTTGTATGGGTTTTCCCCGAAACCCAAAGGTGTTGTGAATGGGTGAGCACCCTGGGCATATGCTGTGAATTGGGCCCTAAAGGCAACGTCAAACTGACGTGCTTTTCCCTTCCAGGCTGTCAGGAACGGGTCGGTGCCTTTCTGGATCTCAATTGTGAGGAGGTGGAAGAGATAGTCGCCGACCTGCAGGAATGTTCTCGGGTTGTTGATACCAGGTGGAACCTGTGGCATCCCTCATCCCGGAAGGATAATGTTGAATGCAAGTGGGTTGGGGCGTTTGAAGATTGACGAGTGAGCATAACCTGTAGGCAGCGCGGTGAGCCAATGACGACACCTTGACTGTTAGTCCATTACTTACTTGGATTCAGATAGAAAGCTACCAGATGGGCATTGGTAGGACCTTCGACGAAGAACTTGCGCCATCGTGCATTCATGATACCATGGATCTCTCCTTTCACGTCGTCGGGCAGGAAGGAACCTTCGAGAGCCTGCTTCATAGATGTGAGGATGGCGAGCCAGTACAAGTAGACATCGGCAGGAGTTGCAGACTTGGCTTCCAGGCACTCGATTGCCTGCGCAATGCTGCTTCCGACTTCGATGAATTGCACCAGTAGAATCTTGAAGTGGAGGCACGCGTTCTCATTGAGAAATATATGATTGGCTTTCTGCAGTTGGACACTTGCATCAGATACGACGGTCTTCAAGAATCAAAGATACCCACCGGAATTTCTATCCTCTGAGCCTGAACTAACTCTAGGATTGCAATGAGGGAACACTTGAGGGATTCTGCAGACCAAAGCAATGTTGAAAACCGGGTTTTCCCAATGCTTTCGAGACCAGGCCCAAGGTTCATCTTCTCTCGAAGTTCCTTGAGAAGAGCCTTCGCAAAATTCACATGCTTGAAGTACTTTATTATTGTCCGAATTTGTTTGATGAGCTAGCCAAGGTCCCAAAGGTCAAGCACAGATAAGAAATAATCCTACAGCAACACACCTCTTTGAAATAGGGCAGGTTTGCGATATCCTTCCATGTGTTGTTAAGATGATGTGCTGGATCTGGAAGGTTGAGGAGGAGTGGCACCTCATCCGAGAGAATATCTCGCGCGACTCGTGTATTCCCTGTGTTATCGGAAGAAACAGCTATAAAGTGGTCGCGTCCTACTAAGTCCATCACCTGCAAATCGATGACAATAAGTGTCGGGAAGGGAGAGATAGGTAAGATTGAACATACACTCAGAACTAAGTCTGCAATCCATCGACCAGTATGAGAAACGTTCGTGCATTCTTGCCCCTCAATCAGCATGACACGACGCTCCTCTGTTGTGGCATGCACAGTATACAACGAGTCGCCACTCCGGATCGAACCACCATCAAACGAGAGGCTGAGATTGCGCTTAGTTTTGAGGATGGTACGCAGCGCTCCCTTATCGTCTATCTTGGCTTGTTTATCTTATCATATTACTCATCTTGATTACATTATGGTCTTTATATCGTATATAAAGGACTCGTAGCCTGTAGAGTAGGGTTTTCCCCGACTTCGAATACAGCGCTTACATCTGTCTTTGGAGTTCGACCGTGTGCCGGGACTTGTGTCAACACACCCCGTCACAGAGGAGCTCAATCTGTTTTCCCCGAACATACTCCTGCTCTGACATAATATGGTTCTCCATCAGAGTTGTTCGCGACGCCGGTGAGTAGCTGGGAGTTTGCAAGAGAAACATAGCCTTCCACTCATCAAGATCCATGACCGCAGGAGCAACGCGAACTGCACAGATGAATTTAAGGACAGCGGTGTTCAAAGCCTGATGGTGGACACGACGCCCTCACGGACCAAAGAATGCAAGCTTGTCGGTTATGGGGGGTGTTGATGGAGTTAAAGGGGTGGAAGAGCGAACAACAATGACACTTCCCTGCAGCTCGCCCTGGTAGCTTGCTGGCTGTGGGGCTTCCTGGTTGGGGGCACAGGATTGGGAAGTGGACGAGCCAAAGGGCAGGGTCTTGAGGCTGTTCTCCACCACTGCACTGGGGGCATCCTTTGAACTGGCTGCTGAGGCCATCTTGCATTGGTCAGAGGTGAGTTTCAGGCATCGTTTCGCATGGTTGAGTACTCGGATACGGGATCGTGGCTTATGAACCTTTGGGCAGCCTTTGCTGATACAGCGATGTGCTTGCACCTCCCCTCGCCGAGTGTTGGGTGCTACTGTAAATTTATTGAGGAGACCAATCCGGGGACGACCTGGATTACGTGCAATCGGGGAATCAGAGGTGTCAGAGTCCTCAGAGCCAGTGTGCTTTGGTGGTCGAGCCTTCAAGTTTTCCTCATCATCGCTCTCCTCCCATCTCTGAAAATTTGAGAGGGAATGTCACTTGTTGAATCGCAGCTGAAGCTACAAGAAACATACCCGCTTCTTGGAAACCTTTGAGCTTGTCCTGCCTGTTGGAATCTGGAAAATAGGTGCTACGACTGACCGAGCACTCTTTGGGTCAGCTGTCGCAGTCTTCTTCTTCTTCGCCTTTGGTTTCTTTGGTGAAACAGACATCTGTTTGAGAGCTTTTGATAATACAAGAGCGTCTTTATGAGGTGGCGGAGTGGCAGGTCGAGGAGTGATGGGTGGGCTGGGGCTGTGGTCTGAGTCGTGTTGGTACTCCTTCAAACCGAAGTATGATTTGGCGTCAAATGTAATAGCAAGAGCAGCCTCTTCCGGGGGGCACTGCAAAAAGCAAATCAGCAATCATATGAAGGACAGCCAACCATGAGACCTACATTTAGCTTATAGTCATCGACTAATTTGCAGAACATGCCAATACGACCCAGATCACCATAGATGGGGTTGTGTGTATTGCGAAGGAGAGGCTCATGAAGGAAATGATGTGATAGTGCATTATAGCTAAAGATACCGCAATTAAACCAATCCAGTGAGAAATCCTGCATGGGAGCGGGCAAGGTGACATCTTCGAAATCAGCAGTCTCCACCAGGATAACATGTTTTGAGAGGAACCACAATAATGCAGCCCGAACATTCACATCCGGAGACCTGCGTGCTGGATCGCCATACCAGAACTTCTCTTCTCCCACGTCAACGATGACAGCAACCCAATGGTTCCCATTAACATGGATGATTCCTGCGATACGGCTACTTCCCGAGAGTCTTGCACCAAAGTGCTGAAAGTGTTCCCCTCCATCTGGGTTGTACTTTGATTTCCCACTTTTCTCATTGAGATAGAGATTGATGATTGTACGCCCCATCTGGTTGCTCAAGAAGATGACATTTGAATGGGATTTGGACCCTTCAACTCCCTTCTGGAGCAAGTGTGTCATTTGGTTGGTGTTTTCGTCGGATAGCCATTTGCGTGACAGGAACGGCGACAGGGTGGATTTGAGAAGGCTCATGCTGGAGGTGCTGGATGACATGGGGGAAAGGTAGCCTGACCAGGGAAGGGCTGAAAGAGCATGGATGGCATCCTGAACTTGGCCTTGAAATAGCTTAAACTCATCGTGTCGAAGCCACTCGAGAGATATTTGCCAATCACGGTGGACAGGAAGGATGTCGAAGAGAATGCGTGTCCAAAAGGAAAGGACCCACAAAGGGATAAGGAGTGCTTCTCCCAGGACAGAGAGCGAAGAATGGCCATCCAACCATTTCTGTTTTGCCTCTTTGAGAAGCTCCGCAACAATCCTTTTCGGAGGAACCATGACCCGAATGAGGGCCAAAACGTCTCCTAGGTCTGGTAAACCTGTCTGAAAAAATGAGTGGCCGGTGGGAAGTTGGTACATTTCTTGTTTCTGATCTGGGCATGCAGGTGGAGGGGTAAAGGTGTGGACGAAGTCGATAATAGAGAGTTGAGGGTTAGGAAAAAGTGTACGTTCATATTCTTTGGGTATTTCCAATTGCCTGCGGACATAAGCTTTGACATTCGCGGGAAGGGAATCGAAGGTGTGGCCATGATTTCACCATGCCAGATCGTCAGGCACGGTGGGAAGAGCCATTACGTTTGATGGGGTCGACACGGGCAGTGCTGGAACTGGGATGACGGACGCGGCAAGTTCAACTGTCACTTTAAACCCAGCCATTTTTTCTACTGGGGACTGGGGAGACCGCATACCACTGCACTTGGGGAGGATCATGCATAGGATCATGGTTATGAGGAGGACATTTTTTACATTTTATACCGGTGTGACCTAGGCTGATGTATAAAATAGGTAATTTACATAGTAAATTACATAGTAACTTACACTTCGTATAAAACCCCCTAGTTATTCCCACAACCCTAAATCGCAATGGTCTCCTTGACATTTAATTCTGTACATATACTGTCACATGACCCCTAACAGGTCACCAGCAGTAACGAGTCATCCGCAGGTTTGCGGAAGATCGAGGAAGCCTTGGGACATAAAAATTTGTACAACCATAGATATATGTCTTATGAAGTACTATGCAGATAATTGTGTGCTCACGTTGAGTTTAAACATGAGAATTGCTCAATGACTGTAGGCCAGTCAAGCGAGATTGCCAAATTTGGCCCAAACTCTAAGCTCAAGAGATCTGAGTGGGCTCTCCCTCCTCAGAAACAGGTCATGAGGTCGCAAAAATTTCTATACAGATTGTTTATAATGCTCTTCTTCGGTATTTAATTTTTTTCTCTCTATGGGTTTGCTCAAAACTGCAGCAAACGAGGCGCATCTGGGTTAGTTAGATCTTAGATCATTCTCACATCAAGACCCTTCATCATAGTCGCATACACTGTACAAGGTACTCGCTTCTGGTCTAATACATGTATCGCAATTTGGAGTAAAAATATTATTTGTTTTCATTTTTTCTTTATTTTCTCGACCAAGAGGAAGGTCTACTAACGGTACATCTTCTCTGAGCATGGAAAAAGGGTAGAATTCCTGTTATCTAATCATGAGTTCCAAGTTTGATGGTTATTTCAAGAAAAAATAACAATAGAAAGATAGAGGTACGTCTTACGAGTAAAAGGCAGCTTGGATTTCAGAGATAGAGCAAGAACTCGTCCAGCTATGGAGGTTGCGAGTCTGCGAGAACAAGAGGCAGACGACCGATCTTGGACCAATCAGTGTGCGATCTAGATCTATTACATCATTCGGTAACAGCCGAGCTCTTTTTCTAGCGTGACTCGTTTCCCATGGTTTCCAGGAAGTTCGGGAATTAGAAACCACGGCATCAGACCACGGCGATCATGTACGGCGGCAACCCCCGCCATTCCCTGCCGTGCTCTCCCTCCCTCCTCGCGGCTAGACCTCTTGCCAGCGGTTGCGCCCTTCGTTTTTTTTATTTCCTTCATGTCCAGTACCCCGCCCTCATGATATTCAGACACAAATCGGTGTATGCGCTATCACGACGTCGTCGAGACCCAGCGAGGGGAGATCAATGAGGTGAGTTGCGACTGCCCGGAGTAGTATGGACGCCTCACCACCGTAGACGCCCCGCGGTGCCCCAACCCTCACCCATATTGGATGGCTTCGACCATTCGCCACATCCGCACTCCGTGGCTGCGCCGCCCCACCACTTCGCTGTTGCCACTGGGTTGTGCGCACACACCACAGGGAGTTAACGAGGACGAAGCCCCTCCCTGCCCTGCAGATAACGACAGTGCCCTGCACCTCACTGCTGCAACCCTGGTGTGCCATGTCGCGGCGACGCACCATGAACAGCAGTACCCCACCACGGGGTGAGCCTGAGAACAGGGAAGTAGACGCCTGCGGCCCCGACCTCACACTCGACATTGCCACCCTCGTGCGCGTACCATCGCTCAACACCCCATCGTTTTGCCAGCACGACCACGCCGTATATGTCTCACAAATATAAACCGGGCCTTCTGCATCAGCCCATGGTCATCCACCGCTTCACTGGCACCCCGCTGCTTCACTGGCACGCCACCAATTCACTGGCACCCCGCCGATTCACTGGCACTGCGCCGACGCACAACGCCCTGCCCTGGCATGACACCGAGCACCCGCCACGTCATGGAGACAGCATTGCCCCAGGACTTGAGTGCCAACCCTCGCATATGTTCCACGGCGTCATTTGACGCTCCGTGATGCATTTGCGAGGCAACGTATCTCTGATATAGCCCCTATTCTTTCCCAGCCTGCCCGACGAACCTGTAGGTTTGAGTATCCGCGTACCCCACCCAGCCCTCGACCCGTGCCGCGAACACCTGTACCCTTGGGCACGAGGGCGGGTTTTGCTGAGATACCCCGAGGACAACCAGCGGGAACTTGTAAACTGCGTTTGAACGACAAAGTGGACAATAATATCAATTTTGCCCTCTCTGCTCCTGCCGACATCCTTTCACGGTTCTCTCTAGACTCCCTGAATGGGACTTTAATGTTGACAGAGCTAGGGTGGCGAGAGAGAGTCATTGCAAATGGCCTAGTCGTGGTTTGGGTTTGAGGGCGAGGGAAGAAAGAGTGTGCAGATCTTTATGTATCATTTTTCAGTGAATCTGGATGTGTATAATGAGTGGTACATTGCGTAGTACACTGGGGACGGATGGGAGGGGCCGTGCTGAGTGCGACCTGGCGTTGCCGCGTTGAAGTAGCCGGTTCAGTTTCACGTGACCGCGTATAAGATAGCCGCCGTGCCGCCGTGCACGATCGCCGTGTTTTGATGCCGTGCTTTCCATTTCCTGAATGTCCTCATGGTTTCGGTCATATCCGGCAATTTCTGACTCTCCTTCGTAGAAAATTCGTAGGACCCTCTATATGCCTTCTAAAATCACGAAACAAGTTGGTATACACAAAGAATATGATTTTTCACCTCTGTGTCAGTTTATATACAGGTAGAGTCCTTCTGTCCTCCACAATTTACAATTTACGCTTAAGTGACCCGTTACTGGTCCCTGCACAGTAGCCTTCAGTACCTAAGATAAGATAACAGATAGGTTGTCTGTCAATTTAGGCGACCGCCCACTGGGTACGGACCTTTCTAACAATCCTACCCTTCTTCCGCGAGAGATGATTGACATCTGGATTCTGGGCTCCTCCCATGGCAGTAATCCTCGTGATCTATGCACGTCTTCCATTTTGCCGTCGCGTCGGCGATCTTCAAGGTCGGGTTGATCTCTTGAAGTGTCGGAACCTAAACTTTTCAGGTCGTTTCTCCTCTAGACCTTCTCTACGAATAGCTCTTCACACGCTTTGTGGTAAGCGCCCTCGGTCCTCGCGCCCTGGTTTCCATAGATCCTGTTTGACGTTCGATCGGACTATTGAGGCTGTGCTGATGCAGCAGAGGTAGCTCCGGTTACTTTGGCCTCCACAGGCTTTGTATCCCAGGTACGTCCTCTGAAAGACTGAGGCAGAGCTTCAGGATTTGCCTCTATCATTCCCTCGAAGGCGGTGCGTTGTCCGACAATTCGCAGAAAGTGGTGCCTGATGATCCTTCCCTGCCTCGCCTCCTCCTTCGTCTTGTCCTACTTGCATCTTCTAGTCGCAATTTTCTCGCTGCTTCTTCTCTGCCTCGTCGTGGTAACATGATTCATGAGCAAGTGATAGTCATCTGATCAACGCGGTCGCTGGCCATTCTGGGGCGCACCATGCGTCGCACGCATTCAGTTTTCAGCTAAGTATATCTCCCGGGCCCATTGTCAAAGTTCAACCCCCCGTCGCCCCACCCCATCAGACTCCAAAACTGTGAATCTCGGGGCACCGATCTTTGTCAACTTTCTAGGGTGGAAATTACGGATTTTTTGCATCCGCACGGGCGCCCTCTTTATCATTGATTTGTTCCGCCCATCGCCAATCATGAGCCAGCAGGCCTGAAAATGTATGTTTATGATTCTATCTACGAAAAGTACTTAAGCGTTCAACGAGTATACAGAGCAATGCGATGATAGCTTTTTATTGTCGTCGGAGATACACATTCCGCCAAGATCGACAGGGCCTCAAGGCTCAGTCGTTATAAGACGGTGAGAGGTAATCTCTATATCACTCTCTTGGTCCTCACGAACGTTCTGGTTAGACTCTCAAACGGCATTGAGGTATGTTTCCGTCGTCTTCCGTGTCGCCGGACCTTGGTTGACGCCAATATAGGATGGAATCGAACACCCTTCACCTTACGCCGGAGAAGGAGAAGGAGGGGAGGAGCACCACCATACTGCCGAACAGTGAGTCCCTATACATTTCTCGGTCGAACACGCGTTGAAGATGTGTCTGTAGAGATTCTCACAAGAGAGCCGTCCGTAATCGAAATAGAGCTCGCATCTTCGCATACCACACCCTCAAGAGACCCTCTCGCCTCTCCTGATTGCTCTTTAAATGACCGAGAAACTTCGCAATGCAGCTCGCAAACCGAGATCGTCAGCATGATGCAACTCCTTTTCCTCGTCTTCAAGCGCACTGTCGCTTGGGTTGGAGGCGGTATCGTCATTATGATTCTCGGTATCGGTATATTCCAGGCTGCTCTCCTCCCAAAGATCTTTACATGCCCACCTGGCGCGACATGCGACAACTCCTACGACCCCAACACAACCATGGTGCTGCAACTCCTACAAACGGCTATGAGCTGGTGGCTCAAAGTCGGTCTCATCGTATCTGGTTTCGGCCTGCTTCGACTTAGCGCATACCAATCGTGGTTTGTCATGATGAAGCACGGAAACAGCATCGACAACCTCGACCTCACCCTCGGCGCCGTTAAGGGTAGCCTTCTCGATGCCTGCCGGCTCGTCCTTCGACGGGGAAACATCTTCCTCAGTCTACTCCTTCTTGCACAAATTGGTATCGGTGCCGCTATCAATCTGTTCGTCGGTCTGTCCATCGTCCGATCGCCTGGAAATCGCGTGGTACCCTTTTCCTACCCTCCCATCTCTCAACTCCCAGACAGCAGCATTGCGGGTCTCAATAGCGATGGTCAGAACCAAGCAAAGGCGAAGGTCGTTGGATGGGCGCTGACGAACGACATGAGACATGGTGGTGCGCTGCGTGGCTCCCTTGTTACGCCGGACGGGCGAAGCAACGCCTCCGTGAACGCGCAGCCTGGAGGACCCATCATCAGCGGCTCCATCTCGTGCACCCCCGTCGCCAACGAGAACATAACCAAAATAACAACCAACGGCGCTGACACGTACAACATCCTGCACAACACGCGCGAATACCTCGCCCTGCCCAACATGTTCCTCTCCGTATCCATGACGCTCATCGGCACCGCGCGAGTCACCTACCTCTGGGTGAGCAACACCACCGGCATGCTCCCCAATGCTACCCTCACCCCCGACGGCGTCATGTACGTCACACTCTGCAACCACGATGTCTTCTTCCTCGACGCGCCGCCCCAGGTCCCGGGCGTACAGTACCTCGAGCCAAATACCGCCGTCGTCTCCGGGTGCCGGAGCCAGGACATGGGTGTGTGCGTCGCCGACTCGGTGTCGAACACGATTATGCACTGGTGGGGTGGTATCGGGCAATCGTTCTGGAACGTCGCATGCCGCGGGGGCGTCATTGGGCCTCTCAAGCGCCAGGCGCCGCACTGTGCACTGACGAACGAGTTATGGGTGGAGACGGTCACGTCCGTGCTGGACGGGATCATGCAGACGTCGCCGTCAAGAGGGCTGGACGTGCAGGGGCTCGATGCAAGTGTGCATAATATCGACACGACGTGGTGGTGGCTCCAGGGCGTCATTCCACTCATGACGCTCGCGCTCTACTTCCTCGCATTGGCGTATACGTGTTACCTGAGTCAAGGGAACTCGACGCTGAAGAGCTTAAATTTGGAGGAAATCATCGGGGCGGCGCAGACGGACCATGTGAAGGATCTAATTCAGTCTGGTCGGCTGAGAAAGTCGACGATGAGGTATGACAACGGGTTCACCCGAGATAACGCGCAAGGGCCCTAAGATCGACGTATTCTTTCTCGTTCCACTTAACATTATTGAATATAAATTGTACTTTAGATCATTTGTGGTTTGTAAATATAGATTGTTTCCATTCAACGTTGTGACAGACGGGATGGCGCCCAACGCACGTCCGTCAGCTGAACTATAATTATCTTCACAACGAGCATCTTCTGGGCAAGCGAAGAAGAAGCTTTTCCAGCATATGGGTAGACGAACATTGTCACGGCTTCTAGAGCACGAGGTATATTCCTGACGCGCCACATTCTCCCAAATTGATAGATCCGCAAAGACCCAGCCCTATCGACCTGCCGAACCTGAAACAAGGGATGGTGGCCCATTGGTACGTCATCTCCGAGTTTCCGTGGCCCGAGGTTGTACTCGCAATCTGTCGATCCTTGTCAGTATGATATCCTGGTAGGAATGATGATTCGGTCTAAGCGATAAGCCGATTCTCCACCCTTCTGCTTGTATTACGCAGCTTCCCGGAGTTCGTCATTGAGACTGGTTAAAGTTCTGTTTCTATCACCCTCAGTAAGGCTCTCCAGCACCGGCGAAGTATGATTCCGTTCGATTCTGCCTTTAGGATCTTCCATGGCCTAGATGGAATCGAGAAGCTCCATCTGATGGCGGACCGCCAGGCCGCCAAAAAGCTAGTCCATGCAAGTCCGGGAGAAATAGCTGAATGTATCACTGTGGCAGGGATGGTTCGGGCTACAGGCGGAGCTCGAAGGATAGAGTTGAGACCCAGACGGAAGATATGACCCGGTGCGGGGGTTGGGCGCTAACCACCGTGCGCCACTTGACGCGGCTCGTCGGAGTTTGGCGCCAAAATCGAGACTCAAATTAAATCACCAACACCCACGTGATCAGTTAGCCTCTTCAACTCCCTCCCGACCCCACTCGTACTGAGACCAACAGCTAACCCTCGCGGAGTCACCTTCGGCTCCCCACATTCATAAGAAGCGACTGAGCTTCCCCATGGGCTGTAAGCAGCTCATAAGGCGAACTCGGTATGTTTTTTATCCAGTTTCTTCTCTACCGAGTTGCATTCTTGGCATCGTTAATCTAGGCGAAACGCAATCAAAGGCCACATGGAAGTTCCAGTGCTCCATCGTGATGCTAGCTCACTCAATTTCTCACTTACAGCTCATCTTCTCGCTATTTTACAGCCGCGAATGTGGATATATGCGCGTATACTGGGCCATCTTGGTCTGGAAATGGTGAAGTTACCTTCGACCTGGAGAAGGCTCCCGTCAAGGGACGTATATGTGCCGTTAAAACGTCTATCCATTCTCTCACACCACACTTCCGACAAACTCTCCCTCATCTCAACCCCGCATTGTTTCGCGAATCGACGGGTTTGTCGTTGTCGATTTTCGAATTGCCTTATCCCCGCTTATCTCTTCATTTTTGGCAGTCACTATCCCTCAAACGAAACGAGTTAGCATACTCTTTCAAACTCTTTCAAAGTAGGATTCAGGTCAGTCCAGATTTTGATGGATAAGGCACCGGTCAGTATATCTTCGGTCGGCTGCAGGCTAAATGCTACGAAAGTCATACTCTGTGAGGTTCGTCAGAAATTTGTGAAAACCCGCGCTGATAGACGTCACTGAGAAGTAGGGCTCGGACCGCCAAAAAGGACGGTTCGTCACGGTGTGACGCGGACGCCCCAAACGAGCGAGCCGCGTTGCCGACCCGTGGGGCTCAGCCCACGGCGGGCACGAGGTGGGCGCGAGACGGGCTGGTTCCCCGCTTAGCGTCCCATCACTCAAACCAAGGCCGCGTGGGCCTGATGTGGTGCACGAGCGCTGAGCGTGCGCGTCGCCGAGGGGAAATGAGGAAAGGAAGGGGAGAAGAATAAGGAAGGAATAGAATGTAAATAACTTACCTAAATTTTGATACCATATTGACAATGAAGGGGTGCATTGTGCTGTTCTTGAAATGGGGTGTGTTGGTGGGAGAGGAAGAGAGGAAAGCTAGGATGACTTGATGTGTATAGATATTGTGTCCTTGACACGCACGCGTTGCGTGCGCGTTGTAATTTACGTACGTTGATCCGAACTGGGAGCCTGAGCCAACGAGGTGAGCTGCCATGCCAGTGTGACACTTGCAGGGAAGCCGCTCGAAAAACCGTCTTTGATGAACTGGCCATCAATTTCCGAAGCCGTCATGGGCCACAAAAAGGACGGTTGGTCAAAAAAAGGACAGTCGAGGCACGTCTTTTCATCAAATTTTAACTATATCTGGACTGACAACCAACGGTTCATCAAATAAAAGACGGTCTCCAACCATCAAAAGACAGTTTCATTAGTCGGATCGTGCATTTATGTATTTACAGAGCGTTCTAAATAAAGCTATTGTGTATGTAATTCTAGGCCTCAAGCCCCCTCGGCTGCAGCACGAGCCGCTGTGCGTCGGGCCTTGCTGATGGCAATGCGCTCCTCCTTTGTCTTGTAGGAGTACATGCAAATAATGTTGCTTGCCTAATATTTATGCCACGGGTGTGATTAGCCTGAGTACCACATATGAAGACTGGGTATTGACGTACCCAACGGAGGACCGCCTCATGGTCTTCTTGGCTTCCTGGTGCGTGTGTTGGCAGCGGCGGTGGGGTGCACGCTGCACGGACAGGAGGGGCTGGGGCTGGGGCGGGTCCCACTTTTTTTGCAGCGCCCTGACGGAAGGCAGGACCGTGCCGAGCGCCGAGCGCGTAGCCGCACAGGAACGCGACGACGAGCACGAGCGCGTAGGCGCCCGTGGCAGTGGAGACGCCCATGATAGGGGCCGATCATCCCAACAGGGACGTGTGCCAGCCGTTGTTGTGCAGGCCGTCGATGGCCCGTGAGACAGCCGGAGGGACTGCCGACCTAGGGAAAAAAAGAAGGGCATGTCACTGTGTCAGCCATCCCAGAGCGATAGACGGCGCGGGAGACGAAGGGCCCCGAGACAAACACGCGCAACGCGGGGTGACAGAGGGGAAGACAGTACCCCGGCCCGGAGACGCCGGTGGCTGTGCCGAACCGTCCACGAGCCGTGACGGACCAGATCACGTGTGTGATCGGACCGTCGTTCTGCCGAGAGAAGTATGTCCATCCTTATTCTGCTCTCTCCGACGCTGACTGTAGTCCCAACTAAACCTAGCAAATCGTTTGCTCACCCTCAGGTATTAGTCCGACGAGAGCCCTTTTGAGGATGCATATCTGGAGAAACCTATCATGCCGACATAATCAGCCACTTTGCGTCAGCGAGATAAGCCCCTACTCCGAGTAAGTAATCATTCGAGATTTTATCATCTTCGAGCAGAATAACTCGCCCAGCCTCGACGAAATTTTATGAGGAGCCTATCCATTCCTTCAATGCGACGAAGATTGCTAGAGGTGAGCGGAAGACTTCCACGTCTTGTACCTGGCGTGCTTGTGGCGTGCAAAATTCTGGCTTTCGGGACCGGGGAAAGTTGACGCCATTCGCGACGCACGTGGTGCGAATTTTACGTCATAGCATTGGTAAGACATCGATAACCTGCAGAATGCAGAATAAGAATCCCAGACAAACTCAATCCTTGACCACATCCTCCTCTGCAGAAACTATGGCCCACACACTCCCTCTTCTTCCCTACGGGTACGATGCACTCGAGCCCTACATCTCCCAGGAGATCATGGTGCTTCACCACACCAAGCACCATCAGACTTACGTCAACGCGCTGAACGCTGCTGAAGCCTCCTACGCCAAATCGTCGACCCCTAAGGAGCGCATTGCCCTGCAGGCCGCTCTCAAGTTCAACGGAGGAGGTATGTTGCGTAGAGTTTATTTTGCGACCGAGGAAGCTTATCGCCCGCGATCAGGACACATCAACCACTCTCTTTTCTGGAAGAACCTCGCTCCCTCTGCGGCCGTCAACAAGGGCACCGGCGGCGTCTTGAAGGACGGACCGCTCAAGACTGCCATCGTCGAGTCCTTTGGCTCCCTCGAGAACCTGCAGAAGGAGTTCAACGCCACCACCGCTGCGATTCAGGGGTCTGGATGGGGCTGGCTCGTATGTGCACCCCACATCCCGTTATCTCTTCCTGCACTCATCGATCGCGGCTATTTTTATTTTTAGGGAGTGAACCCCAGCACCAAGCGTCTCGAGATCACTACCACCGCGAACCAGGACCCTCTTCTCAGCCACGTTCCCATCATCGGTGTCGATATCTGGGAGCACGCTTTCTATCTCCAATACAAAAACGTCAAGGCTGATGTAAGTCTCCCTTCCTTCTGTCGTCATTTGAACGTAATCTCACCTTTCGCCAGTACCTCACTGCGATCTGGAATGTCATCAACTTTGAGGAGGCCGAGCTTCGCTATGCCGAGGCTGTTGGCACCTCCAAGCTCTAAATTGAACTGACAAAACTTCTTGTACGATAAGGAAATAGCTGTGGTGACGCTGTATTACTCTTCTGCCAACGAATGATTTTTTTCTTTAACCTGAATAACCGTAATACTTTGGAATACCTCGGTCTCGGTGACACGATGACGCCTCGTTTTGGAAACCTCGAGTGTCCGGCTTCTTGAAGAGCCGTGGCCAAATTAAAGGCTTAAAGCGTGTATTTGGCGTCACGCGTTGTTTTATGGCCGACGGGTGCTTGAATACCGTGGCGGGCGAGTTTGGAGGCGGGCGTTGTGCAGGCGTCGTGGCCACGAGAAAAATTGGGTGGAGACGAACGTCGTCGTGCGCGTCCGAAGCCTGTGCCAATACGCGCTCACCGAGCTCGCTAAACCCCTGTCCCCACTCCTCTGGACTATGCCGGGGAGGCGTTGCAGCCGGGTGCTCGTATCTTGCTCTTCCTATTACCATGCGGACACAGAACAAAATTCTGTAAGGGAGCAGGGTGTCGGGCGGATGAAGACTGGGGTGGCGGAGAAGTATCCCAAATGTGGCGCACCGAATTCAATGATTGGTCATCATGTCGGGTATTCCAAATTAGGTTGACCGCGCTCCTCATTTGGGTTGATCTTCGGCGCTACCCAACTCGACGGTGGGCATCTATTTCGAACCAATTGACCTACTGGGCACCTCGATCCTGGTGGAGATCATGCCAATTAGCCTATGCAGCACCTTGATGGGCCTACTAGTGTTCGGCTGAATGTACGTTACTGTATGTTCGGCGCCGAGCACTTCGCGGGCAGGGTCCGCCATCGTAACTTGCTAACAACACCACATCTGGTTTTGGGAATAATAAAGCCTCGGTGAACTCTCTTTCCATCTCGATCAAGGCAGCGATAGGACAAGACCCCAGACAATCAGCTTGGAGGCCTGATCCTGAAATTTGGACATTTCGGGGTTGTTGTCCGTCCGAAATTTGCAAAATTTCCGACTTTTTGTCCGGTCGGTATCTGGCCTCTATGCCCAAAAATCTCCAAAACGGGTGGTAAAATCCAAAAAAATTCTTGGTCGCCCAGCCCCAAGCCAAATTTTGCTTTCCTGTCCGTTTTCTATCCAGGTTTCGCGCTCATTTTCGAGGATAGTTGTCTGGAGCGTTTCCGGCCTTACGGCCGATTTTTGACGAAAGTTGTCCGTTCTAGTATCAGGCCTCTGAGCCTATTGTCTGGGATCCTGATAGGACTTAACGAGTCGTGCCGTCTCGTACGTCAAGACAATTAACGTTAGAGCGCGACCCAGACGGAAAGATCCTTTTCAAGGCCGGGCGATTGGTGATGAACTAATTCAAGGTCCGACTACTTTCCAAGTCCGCGACATTGTGGATGTCTGAGGCAGTGGCAGGTTGCTGCGTTGAACTCTAGCGCCTGGGGGTGGCAAAAGCTGGGCGCTCTGGCCAAAAACAAAACCATCACATTCTCTAAAGTAATAAACATTTTTAAAAGTAGTATTAAGATGCTCCAAGGCTTGAGAGTGATGCCCGAGGGATATTGTACGGCCCGAGAGTGATGGCGTGAACCGAAAAGGTGCAGTGTGCTTTCACACCTCCTTCAACAGCTTCCAACGACTCCCCTATCCCCTCTAAAATTTGCAGTCATCGTCCATCGCCGCGATGCTACCGTCGTAACTCGACTGCTGCTGTGTCGGGACACGTGCTGGCGCAGGGGCCAACGGGCGCCAATTGGAGTTTTGGGCGCAAAACTAGACGCCGTCCATCTTGCACCTGAACCTCAACAAACCCTCCGCCCAGCTCCCGCGAAACTCGTCCTTTAACATCTCAGAGGTAGGTTGTCCCCCGATATCTGCTTTCCAGCGACGCTTACCGACTCCATTCGTCCTGGAAGACCTTCGATGGCCAAAGGTGTGCCACGAGGCCTCGTCCGTGCAGTAAACCCGGCTGACGTACCACCAGCGCTCCGAGAGCAGACGTATTCAAAAATGGATGTGCACGGACGTTCATTTCCGGCTGAGTTGTGGGAGGAAACTTTCTCGCACCTCACCCGCCGCGACCTCGTCAGCGTTGTGTTGGTCTGCCCCGAGTTCATCGGACCTGGCCAGTCGGTGTTGTACCGTGTCGTTGACCTCCGCCAGGACGACAGCAACATTGCCGCCACAGTGGATTTGCTGAGGCGCCGCGCAGATCTGAGAGCCAGGATACGCAGTGTGACGCTGACCACCCGTCGTCCGCCGCAGTTGTGGGAGGCCTCGTGGTTCCCGCCGGATATCTTCCAGGGTTGTGTCAATTTAAGGTCGCTGGAGCTACACGGATTTCCGTATGATGTCGCCGAGAGGCATGCATTCAAGAATTACATCCAACATTCGTGCAGTGCGCTCCAGAGCATCACGCTTCATCCAACCAGGAATTTGGAGCCGCTTGGTGTATTGGACATCTTATGGGCGAGTCAGCCAGGTGCGGGGATTTTTTTCCTGCTTTGTCTTCTTCATCAATCGTGTTTTTTGCAGAGCTCGAGCTGAAATTGATCCCGAAGCACCTATACTCGGCCGACACCTTAACCCACATCGCCTGGACAGGAAGTATCAGCCACCAATCGGACGGACAATACGACCGACTGCTCAACTACACATTCAACCATCTGATATCCCTAGAGCTCGGGTCTCTGGCGTCCTCCGACAACATCTCCTCCCTTAACGAGAAAGTCACTCTTTTCATCAAACGTCATCCCCTAATCCAGCATCTCTCCATGGGGAAAGAGAAATCTTCACCAACATTCTTCCAGCTAGACGCTCGGCACCTCGACAACACTGTCCTTCCCAACCTGCGCAGCTTCGAAGGATTTCCGGAGCACCTCGTCGCGCTCTTCCAGGCCGATATCGCCTCGCTTGTCGACCTGCACACGCTTTCTGTATTTTCGAACACTGAAAACCTCTCGGACGTGCAAGGGATGTTCGACGTCTTGCACGGGCAACAGTATCCTCAAGTCACCCGGCTACAAGTAGATTTATACCTGCAGGCGCTCAACCACCAGTTTGAGTCGCACGTCACGTTCCTCCCGCAGCGGAACCTGATGATCGCTTTTGCCGACCTCTGCCCAAACGCGATATATATCTCAGCTCGTCTGCCGCCGTTGCATCGAGTAAGTCTTCCTCTATATTATGTAAGGCCAGGGTAATGACATTATCAAAAGGATCCCCTGTGCTCGATGTTCAAGTCCTTCGCCTCCGTGGAGACGATCTCATTCCCCCATCTCTCGCTCTCAGTCCATATGCCGGCCACCGTCGAGGAGCAGAAGCAGTTCTTCTCACCGCTCGCGGAGCGCTGCCGCAATTTGCGTCAGATCATCAGGCGTAGGCCCGAGTATACTCAGTTGCCCGACTCGGTCTACACCCTTAGACGCTCGTCACTTGGCGAGCTCGTCCGGGTGGATGTTCAGCAATGATTGAGCTCCACGCCTATCCGCCACTACATCCCTTTTGGATCGCCACCTCGTTTTCTCTAGTTCTCTGTTTACGTTTTATGGATTGGAAAGATTCTCAACTATAATGTGTACTCGATCATTTATCACTTTAGCCATTTATGACATCTTTTGTTTTTACTACTTACAACCGTTCTAGACATCTGTTTTTAGCTGCTATGCATATTTCGCTCTTAGGATTGGGACTTCTAATTGGGCTTCATGTATCTGATTGTAATTGCGTCTTATCTACACTATAAGGATTTCGTTTTTAATTATACTTAGCAACATATGCCTTTCTTCCGATGATGACTCATCATGGAGTGCGGAGTATGCGCCCTTTGTTGCGCAATGGTCCTAGGTAACGGAAGATTGACCTGTTGAGTATCCATAAAGAATCTGTGACGTCCTGCCTAATCCAAGGCTGAAATTCCTTTGTAAAGCAGATAATTCTACTGCCCATGTTACTCGGCCTATTCTGTATCCCCAAAATCCAGCTTTACGGACTCGCTCCTCCCTCGACAGAAAATACCTCCTCAACCAAAACATCAACAAGGTCGCCTTTCTCTCCACGCTCGAGCTTGAATACATAATCTCCAGACAACATGTATTTGCTCCTCTGGCCGATTATTTTACTCAGCTTTGGGCAAATCTCCGCTAAAGGATAGAGGTTCTCGTGATCCAGTGCCGGAGAGGGGAGCATGCTAAAGAGAATGTGCTTCGGGAGGGTGATATCCTCGAGGTGCTTGAATCCACCGAATATTTTGAGTAAATAGTTCTGAAGAAATCATAAGATTTAAGAAGCGGAAAAGGATGCACTAGGAGCTCATACACTGTCCAAGATCATCAGCAGCTTTCCGAACGATGGCGCCGGGAACCTCCCTTCCCAATCGACAACTCTGGGAAATACCGTCGGGAGGCGTTGAAGGCGTTGAAGACACCCCATGATATCCAAGTTGGCATCATGCCAGTCGTCGTCCTGATCCCGAGTTTCTCGACGAGCGGGAGACTGCGCCTCCCGTTCACTTGAGTCGTAATGAGGAGATTCATACAAGGGACATCTTTCACAGAATACGCAAGATTTAGCGACGTAAACTTAAACATCGACTTGACGTGGCGATTCTGGAGAACCAGGACGTTCTCAGGGAAGCCCTCGAAGCTCCTCAAAGCAGGAAGGAAGTCCGGCAGGATGATCGTTTCGTCGAAGTTGAAATAATGTGTCGGACGGGCAGACGGGCGCTTTGTCCCCAGAGAGAGATGGGTGATCGTGTCGTGTCGAATAATGAACTCCGTGAGGTACCTTCGAACCGCCTGGAATAACTCGCCTTTGATACGCGTGACGTTCCCCAGCTCGAGGTGCGTGAGCTTGGGCATATGGACACGGAACGAAGGATGAAAGATGCCCGGAAAGTAGTTGACGAGAGATTTAGAGGACATCGTGAAGTGGGTCAGATTTCTGCCATAATCTCTCGCGAATGTCGACGCTGTTATGGTTTCTTGACGAGTGGCATGGTTAGCGCGGGGTCGATGAAAGGGACAAAGGACGAACCAATGTTCATCCATATCTGAACGCGCGCAACGTGCTCTTTCGGATGGTACGTGTATACCCAGCGACGCTCCTGAGAGGTACGAAAGGTAATAATCTTCACCGAGGGCGGAAGGCCGCCTTTCGCCCGTCGGAGAGACTTGATTGCAGGTATGATGAAATGGTCTCCAAGAAGGGGGCCTATCACTTCAACTGTCTCGAGATTCTTCACCTTCGATAATACCTCTGAGTCCCACCACTTGTCGGTCGCAGCTGGCTCGCCCCATTTCACGTACGTAACGAGTGTGGCGTGCGTGACTTGCGAGGCGACGAACCCGTCTTTCTTCAGCAGGTCGAAGGTGTACTTGATGGATGGATTTCGATTGTATAATTTGATAGACTTGTAGAGTATTTCGAGTACTGCGGGCTGGATTTCGCGAGAAACACCGACGAGTTGCGCCAGGTCTTTCAGGGAAAGGAAGGAAATGACCTCCAAGAAAATCTCGGGAGGAACTGATAAAAGCATGTCTGCTCGAAGCGGGCATTTCAGATCAGAAACTTATATCAAAAACCATTATGACATACATGATATCCTGGGCCCTCTTTAAATAAACGATGGACGAGAGGAATGTCGTGGTTGTGTCAAAGAGATCATCTGGTCATTGGTGATTAGACGCGATTAGGGGTGTCTCCATCTGGTATGTCATCACGGGACTATGATGACTCAGCTGGCGAGCATTCCCACAGTCGCAGAGGGCGAGGCAATTGATATGCTTGACAGCGAGCTCGTTGCTCCCGACCACCACCACCGCCACCACCGCCGTCTCTAACGCTCCTTCGAAAGCCAACTATACCCCTTACACCTTCCTCCTTGTAGTTATGTTGTTCTCCTGGCTGTTGCTCGCAACGTTGTCCATCATCCCATGGCAAATCCTGGCACAAGAAACGACGACACCGAAAGCAGAGAGTTGCACGTACTCTTGTCCAGAGGTGGATTCGTCCCACCGACCACTTGTTAAGCGCCCATTCTCAGCGGGCCCAAACTCGTTCTACACAATCTTTGAGTGCACGTAAGTCTTGGCTTTTCGATGGTTCGCTCGATCGGCTTACAAGGTCGCCTGGGCACCAGGTACTACTCGTATGTTGCTACTCTGCAGGAGCACACTTGCAGCTATAACAAGGTATGATTATCGACCTTACATCTATATATTTCGGGTTGCTGACCAGCTTCATGGCTACTAGCACTCTGGGTTCCTCGCTATCGGCGGTGCTGGTGACGAATGCCCACCCAAAGCCGTTGCATGCCCACAAGGCGGCTCATCACCACCTCAAGCCATATCTGACTCTGAGCCAGAGCAACCGCCGTTGTTTTCCAAGCAGGAGAAGGACGAAGTGCCGGCCTGGATCGAGATGGGTCGCTATCTGTTATGGTTGAAGGAGCACCATTCGTAACCGAAGAGGAAGGCTGGATCGGCCGGGGAGATGTATTGGACTTTGGGTTGTAATTCTGTGTACCGTGTGATCCTTATCTTTATGGACATTGCTCTTTGCTGATCTTTCTCTGACTGTTGGCAAGTGTAAATCACAATGTCAATGTCGCAGTCAATTTCGAACGTACCTCATTGATCCTCAGAGTCTCTTCTTTTGACCCCTAGCTGTTCTCAATCATCAAGCTGGCGCTATGCCATACCTGTTTGGGTGGGAATGACCCTGGCCCTCTGGGGCGGGATTCATATGCTTAGGCATCGGCACGTTCACTCATTGGCGCCTGTGATTAAACATCCAGGGCTATGGTGTCCCATCCTAGGGTAGGGAGAAATCGACCTTGAGCTTGAAGCTTTGAAGGGTGATATTGATTTGGATGGTTTCGGGGTGAGGTTCTGCACTTCCTGTCGCGCATATATTCACTGTTGACCCATTATTTCCCGACCTATATATTAGTTTCACCAAGCCATTCGTTCCGTAAGATCCATCATCAACTTTGGTTACAGTACTTTTGCGAAAGAACACGGAAGTAACCTGACCCACTTCACCATGTCCTCCAACTTTCTCATCAATCATTTACGCGCACTATTTTCTTCCTGGGGTTCTCATAGGATACACGTGCCGAAGCTGCCCCTCGAACTCATAGACGTCACCTGAATCAAAATAGGCCTGCTGCAATTCTTTCCTGACCCCTGGCTGCGAGCGCACTGACGGCCAGTTCCTCATCCGGCACGACACCATCGCCAACCTCTCGCTGAATACCCAGCGCGCGTCTGCATACTTAGCTCATTTTTTCGTCTTCGACGAAACGATCCTCAAGCCGGACTTCCTTCCCCGTTGAGGAGTTTTTAATGCGTCCCAGAGAACCTCACGTCACACCCTGGCCTGAGTCAAGAAGTGGAGTCGTTGAGAGCGTCAAACCCAGGGGCGGTGGAATACCTTCGACGTCTTTCAAAGTTATTTCCAAAAGTCGTAGGAAGGACCGGATTTTCCCTACCTCCACGTTCGTATTGAACCTCCCAGTCGAATAGATGATCGATATCCTTGACGAGGTACGATTTTTATTCAAATTCAATGTCGCTGGCTTCAAGCACTTCCAGAATCATTTGATTGACATATTCCCTCGACTCCTACGTTTTCAAAGCATCACTTTACCGACTCCAATAGTCTCCAGTTTTTTTAGCTACGCAACTCCGTTTTTTCCAACAAAAATAGAGGTCCCGGCTACGCCGGTCCGGTATACGAATCTAATCTAATCTGGTCTCTCATTTGCTGCTATTTGCGTCTGTTCCGCCGTGGTACACCGTTGCGCCGCAGCAACAAACTTTTGCCTTTCCAACAATCGTACTAATCCCCCACACATATGGCGGACTCTCAGAAGAGGAAACGCGTCAAGGAGGAAGAACCATCTGGGGACGACGCGTTAGACAAGAAACTCAAGACCACATCGGCGGCGACGGATTCATGGTTTTCTTCATCGGTAGCTTCTGGCTCGTCCTTGGGAGGAGGGACACAGCAGGAGCCAAGGCAACGATCTGCATCCCAATCCGCCGAACCTGAAGCTGAGGAATTCGCCCGACACCCCGTGCATTGGTTATACGACACCTCACCGGTGATCTTGCAGGTGGACAAAACTCGCTTCAAGGTGCACAAAAGTCGTCTGGCTGCAGATTCTCTGTGGTTTCGCACCCTCTTTTCACGCAATTATGCTGCTCCTGGGGTCCCACTAGAGGAACGAGATGCCTTGAAGCTTATCGTGAATTCAGTGACGGTGATTGATGGAGTTGAGCTGTTCGTTTTGGATCCAAAGGCGAAAGCTACTACGGTGGAGGACCTGGCTGAGCTGCTCACAGCCATGGATTCGGCAATGTGCGTATCTTGGGTTTTTCTTGCTTCGCTGGCACTAACTACCTCCCGCAGCGGCTACCACGAGACAACACCCCAGTTCGATACCGTGAAGAAGATCTATCGAGCAGCACACCTCTTTTTCTTCCCAGCGTATCGTAAATTTGCTTTGGCTATCCTCACGCAGATGTTCATCGTCAACAGGGGCATCTCCGAGGAACCTTCTCCTTACTGTGCCGAGTGCGTCGCGATTGGGAGGGAATACAAGTTCCCCGTCGCCCTGATGAAATTCGCCTTCTATGACCTGGCGCGATCGCCACCCCCGAATCCCACATCTACGCTTGCCGCGGACATGAAGAACCTGAAGATCGAGGATCTGGTCCGCCTCAATAACTTGCAGAAGCATCTCTCCTTGGTGTGGAACGACATCTCGACATGCTACGAGACGACGTGTGATGTGATGCAGTGCCAGGTGTGCGCCTATACGAGGCAGCTTCCCTCATTCCGAGGAGTCGTCGAGGAAGCGAAGAAGGCATTCCCTTTCGATCCACTTTCAGCGATCCATATTTTGGTGACGCAGGAAATGAAGAAACCGTGCCCGTTGGCTGCTCAGGCGACAACGCAGAAGCTCAACAACCTCCGAGAGAGGATATGGAAGGATATGGCCGAATGGCTGAACCTTGAGGAGTAGCGACGCCCGCTGCAGGAAGTGTACGCAAGCATTTCTGTTCCCAAACGGACCGAACTCCTCCATGAAGAGCGGAGGTGCGGACCCTTGGGCAGTACTATGCGGTTCCCCTCTGTCAAAAGTATCATGGGCACGATGCTCAATTTTGATCAAGCTCGAGCAGCTTTCACCCACTCTACCATTTTCTTTGTCCTTTCATTTCGCAAATTCATTTGTGGTTCCTTGCCTCTACCTCGATGTCTGATTCCACCAAGCGAACCCCCCTAAAACATGAAGATCTACTACGGCCCGACGACAGCGTCGCGCCAGCCGCAAAGAAACCCAAGGTCGCTGTGCCCCAAGACTTGGAAGCTTCTCCGCCTTCGGCTGCCAGTGCTAGTTCTGTCCATCGACAGTTCGCAAAAATGCTCCCAACAATGCGCATACCTCTGGGAGGACGACGCGACTCTCATAGAGCTTCAGATTGGAAAAGCTCGCTTCAAGGTCTACCCAGTCGATTTGTCAAAGACCCAGCGGGATTTCGCGACAGCAACTCCCCGATGTCACGACTTCGCGCGCGGGGGATCGAGAAGCTTATCATTATCGAGCCGCATATCGTCGAGAAACCATCGTCTCTCGCCACTCAATGCGTCGAACCGTCCCAAGAATACAAGCTCCCAAATGGTCTCATCAAGCTCGCATACTACGACCTCGCATCCACCCCCCCTTAACTCTTGAGTTATCGACGGACATGATGAAGCTGACCGTTACCCAGTTCATGCGCCTGAACGCAATGCAGAAGAACCTAGTCTCATTCTGGGAGGATATCCGGAGCGCACGTTGGCGCATCGTTGCGAGAAAAAAGAGTGCATTCCGCGCACAAAGGCCAACAAGTCGCTATTTTTGGTTGAAGATACGCGAAAGTTCATTTTTGATCCTGTTTACGGGATTCGTGTGCTCGGAAGGCAATTTACAGAAATAAGTAAAGGTCAAGATAAAAAAAGGAACGCCGACAATAGTTGAACGTTACCAATACAACTACCCAATCCACTTGTTTAAATCCTCCCAGATCGATTCCCTCTTCTTCTCAAGGCTTGTCCTCACTGCAGCGATGGCACCATCACAGTACTTGTGGGTTGGCCATTTGACAATGTCGATGAAGTGCCTGATGGCCAGAATGGGGTCGAGAGGGTAGTTCTTTCTTGCACGATCGATGACGCTCTTGGGCGCAGTATGCTGCACCTTGCATTCGCCAGGAGCAGTCCCCGCGCATTTATGGTCCACCAAGTACGTGATCTCGTTCCAGGCAGCGGCGAGGCGTTTCTGAATGAAAAGCAGACGAACCAGGTCCCTCGCCTCCAGTTCTTCGAGGGGGTCGTACTCGTCTGCGTTGTTGTTTTCGTCGGCAGTCCCGACTGGGGGAGCGGATCGAGCCAAATCGTAGAAGCAATGTCTGAGGATAGCATCACCATACGCACGTCCGAGGATGATGCCCTTCGCGGCGTCAGGAGAAGTTGCTCCCAGGAGGTGTGTCCAGGAATCTGGGAACCGGATCGTAAGGTATGAGGAGCAGAAATTATTGTAGCGTGTAACGCGGAAGAACGAAGCTGCCCCGTACAACTGCTCGACGGCGTCGATGTTTGGTCGCTTGTAGACGAAGTCGCTGAAAGCATCGAATTTCAGAACCGCCAGATGAAAGAAAACGGGATCTACTCACATTCCTGTGTTCATCGCGTCCAATAATGTGGCGAACTGCTCCGAGCTAGGGCCACCAGAGCAGTCCACGTAGAATAAATCCAAATCATCAACCTTCTCTTTCGTCTCCACCACAGGATCTATCTCATCTTGGTCCTCGAACCCGTCTTCCTGTCGCCCTGCGGCGCGTTCAACGAGGAGCTGAAACCAAGACGACTCGCTTGCCAAACGACTGCGATGAACTTTGAAACGCGTGTCGCCGATTTGCAGTAACAAGTTGCCGTCGAGAGCCCAATGGTCTTCGTTTTTAACGTAGGTCTTCTGAGCTTTCGGCGGAGAAGCTTCCTCTTCCACGACGCCCGCTGAAGTTTCGACTTCGTCGTGTTTACGCTTTCCCTGTGATATAGGCGTCGGAGGGGCTATGCTTTTTTTGTCTTCCATGCCCACATCCAATTGAGCTATTAATGTCATATTAAGAAAAGGAGCAAATACCAAAGACCCTCATGCATACCTGGTACGGATTCAAGGCGTTGACTCCGTCTTACGGTCATTATGGTTAAAAGCGACGCGTATGGAACAAGGGAAAGACGTGATATACAAGAGGAAAGAAACGCTGCCAGAGGCGAAGTTACGTGTGACTTGTGATCACGTTCCGTGACGTCTGGTGCAAGTGCCCCTGACAAGAGTGCGAGGAAATCAGACATGGGGGTGACAGCCTGCATTAAAGTCCCGCTAGTAGCAGGCAAAGGTAGCAACTCTGCGTCCGTGGCTCGCCATTAGGGAACGAAGCATTAGTTTATTGGCAGGACGATGTTGGGACAATGAGGCACATCAGATTTAGGAGGCTTCAATCCACGTCTTCAATTCCTCCCAGATCCCGCCTCGCTGTGCCGATAATTTATCATGAACGGCCTTCGTTGCTTTTTAGCAGTACCTATGAGCCCTCAAATCAAAGCACCAAAGGTGAAGGATGCCCGCTATTGGACCAAAAGTGTGATGGTCACGTTCCTCGATGACCTCACCTGTCTCACCTTGTCCTTGTTCCCGTACCTACATAGTAGGGTACGCGGATTGGTCGCGGTTCAATTTCGAACCCTGAGCCACAACACCCTATGTAACTTGGTCGCGGTTCGGTTATTGTCGTCCCAAGCAAGGGAGAGGCGCTTCGCGATATTAAGGAGACGAAAGAGGTTGTGTACGGGAAGCTCTTCGAGTGCCTTCTTCCTGGTGGTGTCGTCCTCAGCCATTTGCTCCACTAGCAGAGGGAAAGGACAGGACTTCGCGAGATCATCTGAGAACCGATTTTTGGTTTAGTTCTCTCGTCATTTGAATACCTGGCGCTTCGAATGGAGACGGAATAGCTGATGAGCGTTCACATTTATCCGAAAGCTGTGTAGCGGTTCATTTGGAAGAACCGAGCCGCGCGATAGATCTGGGCCACTGACCATGCTAGGTGGGCGGTAAGTGTATTCGCCAAGAATCACAAGATTTCAGTAATAATAATGCGAGCGTGTAGTAGCAACGCGACTCACATTAGTCCAACTCAATTTTGTTTATTTCGCCAGTTTATTTTTTGAAGAGGCAGCATGGTTTGCGATGCGGCGCTGATGCCAAGGTGAGGGCGAGGCTTGGGACGCGCTGGGTTTGAAGTGATTGCCGGCACAAGCGGCATCATCGCACAGAGTTTTTTTTCTAAGTCCATCGCAAACTCTATTCACTCATTTACTACACACCCATGTCCGCTCCTTATAATTTTAACTTTTCCTCTCTTAATTCCCCTGGCGTAGATTGTGCCGGCACCGCTCGCACGCCCCTCGATGAATTTCGTCATGAAGGTTGAGTTGCTGCTCAACCTCCTCGACCCCGGTTCCAACCCGGAACACCAAACCACAACCCCCTCTATGCAGGTGCCTTCAACACACAGTATACCCCTTCACCAGCGCGTCTCCGCCTTCCTGACCCTATGGCTCACACACCAACGAGATACCCCGCCACCCCTCACTCCCCTCACCCTGAAAATGCACATCAGCATTTCGTAGCCTCTCAAATGCGTTCAACTCGTGGATTTCAAGACTCACACCTACAGCCGGCACAGCAGCGCTTCGCCCCACCACCACAACCACCAGCCTTTCGCGAGAACCTCGGCCCTGGTGCCGGCACTGATGGTTCGCGTCAACTGCGTCCTCCGACGCGCCAGGACCATGACACGTTTCGCCCTGTGGTTTTGAACCAGCAGCCCACCCGTGGTCCACAACAGCAGCCACCTCCTTCCTATGCACCCCCCAGCACACAGCCCGCATACGCTGAAAATGCGCCGCATCCTCGTTTGGGCAGCATCACCAATAGCGTGGCTTTGCAGGGGAATCCACGCCTGGACACGACCACAACACCAACAGCTCGAGAACCAGAGCCAGTACCCGCGGTGCCGCTGGTCAGTCCGACACCCAGAAAGAAGCGTACACCAACAGCAGCAGCAGGGCCGTTAAAAACGCAGCAAATACTCCAGCATCTGGTCGCGGGGCGCAAGAACCTGCAAGAAGAACAGGTCAACGCCGTTGACGTCTTTTCGTGTCGCAATCACCGCATTTATTTGGTTCAAATGCTCGTAATTCTCTTCAGGCACTCGACCTTCAGCACAGTCAGCCAATTAAGACTTGAAACCACTCCGATTCGCTGGAGAGACGCCTACGATGGACCTTGAGCCGCACGTCGCCGATTTGCAGCAGGAGATTCCCACCTCGTCTTCCACCTCGTCAATGATGCCTTCTTTTGGACGGCGTAATATGTTGAGATGCAAGAGCTGTGGGAATAACAAGTAATTAGTTACAAGTATCAACAGTATCTGAATAGACTAGAGGGACGGCTTACTCATAGGCTTCAAGTTTTCGAACTCGAAACAAGAACGCGGAAAGCGTGATTGTTCCAGGCCGTGACAAGAAATCCATGAGAGCTGCACGTGAGGTGACAGACCGCGTTTTACTAAGGGTTATGTAATTGACAATTAGGAGTCCCAAATCACGTCTGCTTATAATTCAGGTTTGGCGAGATACAGTTTAAATTTTTCAATCCAGACAGTGTCCGGGATTATGTTAATCCAAAGTATACATGTTAATAGGTGGTGTTCAGGTCCTCATTGACATCCGCTACAAAATCCCACCGATTTCGTTACCATGCTCTGCAAAGGCTTTGAATCTCTCCCAGATCCCATTCCTCCGCCCTCTCAAGCCATTGATATACTCCTCCATACCGCGGTCGCAGAAGTTGGTTTTTCCCAGTCCATATAAATGACCGTCATGATCCCATTCAGCGGATCCAACGAATATGTCTCCCAAAGGTCCTGCACGATGAGCAAGCTCACCATGTGTACCTTGCCGCAGCCGCCATTCTTCACGTTGCACATCTTCTCCTTCACCAATGAGTCTGCAATTGCCTGCCACTCCTTTGTCAAATGGAAGAGGATCGACGGAATTCTGATGACATCTTCTTTCGGTGCTATGGGCAATTCTTCGACCCAGTTGCGATGGTCAAGAATTGCAGTGGTGCCATACTTGTCGTGTGGAAGGGCGTCCTCATCGCGTGCTAGCTCGTAGAAGGCACGAGGTATCATTTCTGGGATGTCGTATGCGCGTGCGATATGCAGAGCGTACTCCGCGTTCGCGACCTTGGTTTCAGTCACCTCCTGCCAGCGGTTAGAGAAAAGCTTCGTCAACGCCTTCTTTACTATTTCGAACGTCGCTTGGTCGGCCACAAACTCGGCCATCTTCATGGTCTTGGCTAACACCTTGCAATCCTTGCTTGGAGTGCTGTCATACGGCCTGAAAGCGCGAGATGAGCCGCAATTCTCGTGGAATTTGAATTGAGCAACTTACAAGCCGAAATATCTCGCCTGGAGGTGGATATATTCCGCCAACGCGTCGGCGTCAATTTGCTTTATGCGATCCAGACGGTAAAGCCTCATCCCTTCTTCTTCTTCAACATTTTCCAGAACCCTGTTCACGACCCTTCGCTGAATGCCGTCCAACTTCGCATCAGCGCTCTGTTCAGCCTCGCACTTCTCCTGACCGACCATACGCGAGCTGGCGAAGAGCGCTTTGAATAACTCCGAGCTCCTCGAAAATGGGCCTTTCGGAATCCTGAAGCGAACCTTCCCTACCTGGAGGTAAACGTCTCCGAAGGCATACCACTGTGTCTCGTGCTTCACGAACGTCGCCTTCTTTTTTGCTGCCACATCCATGTCAGAGCACCCCTCTTTCGAGAGGCTCTTCTTTCCTGGACTTGAGCGAGGTGGATCTCGCGAGCCCGTAGACGGCGTACAGGTCGAAGTGGCACCAACTTGAGTGGGAATTGGGAAAGGAGAGCGCATCAACGACGGCGACGTGAGATGTTGCGCGTAGCTCGCGCGCCCCGGCGTCGTAGGCACATGCCACATCGGTGCGGCATTCGAGCCGCCGGAGATTCTGGCTGAAGTAGAAGGCATGGACCCTCTTGAATGGCGGCGAGAGGGTGTCTTCGGAGTTGACTCCTCCTTGGGCGTCGACGCCGACTTGATTCCAATGCTCGGTCGCATGTCGATTCGGCCATAGGAATTATACCTCCTCTTCTTAGTGGGCGTAGTTGGGGCGTCAAGTCGAATAGGTTTCTTGAGACCGTACGGCGAGGGGTTCTTGATTTGCTCAAGGGTCTCCTTGACATCCTCCATCGACACCGGAGACATGATGGGAAGAGGTGGGATGAGACCCGTCTTCGCCAGGAAGATCTCGAGGTCCTCGAGGGTTGATAACTTCGGTGTAATCCTGTATTTTTCGGTGTAGTATTTAGCGTTCTCTATGGTCATCCCGGGATAGTCCTTCGCGATGTCCTTTTCTTCCTTGCTTGGGCCTGTCTTCGCCATTGGCTTTGGCGAAGTCGGTGGCACATCCGTCCCGCCTGTTGATGGCCCTTCGACCTCGTCTTCTGAGTCGGTAACATATTCGACAGTGCATTTCTTTACTGGTTGCTTGAACATTTCGTAAATCTCAGCATCGGTGATGGGGCCACTATCCATGGGCGGCATGTCCACACCCTTCACCAGACACTTGCTTAACTTCTCGTCGTACGGTATACTTCCAGGATATCCCGGAATATGGTCGTATTTGAGTCGTTCAATCCCGGGGATTTGACTGCTACCGAAAGACGTGGTTCGACGAACCCTGCGGTGGCTACGAGGTGGGGGCGTCGAGGGGATCGCCCGAGAGGCAGAAGCATTGGGCATCGCAAATAACTTGGGGTTTGGGCAAGAAGAAAGCCACTCGCCCTCATCGTCTATCGGTTCCAGTCTTGAAGTAGATATTCCCTTGGTACCAAATGCTATCGATCCTAGCACCCAGACGATGGCTTCAATCCCTGTGGCTCAAGAATCTAAATAAAGGTGTACATACCTGAAGACTGATAGCTCCTGGTCGGCGATGAGGTAGACAGAGTGTCGGACATCTCAATCGCCTTACGATTTGGGGCGTAGAGTATTGTGAGGATGTCGTTTGAGATCAAGAGTTGGTCGGTGTGTGGTGGAAAGACCGTCAATCTGATCAATTCCAAGTCCGACGCCCGCTTATTCCTCAATGCCACAGTCCTTAGTCCCACGCTTGGATGCAGTCAGGGAAGCCAGGAGTTAGGGCCATGCTTTGAGGGTATATTCGATGAAAAAAATCATCTGAATTCCCCCAGGAGTTGCGTTCAAGAAGCTACTTAATCTATCATGACGTCTGAGTTCGACTTAATCAAACCACCAGTCATGAACGAATTCGTTCTTTCGCTGTAGGCGACGTAGGATGCTATTCAGGTTTTCTGAAATCTCAAAAACCAATCTGAAGGTGTCCTGTTTATTGTAAAAACTCACATCCAAGCTTATTGCTCGAAACCGGGTCAACAGATGATACTCAACAAACGCCGAGAAGACCGAGATAATCAATGCACCCTCTTCACGAAATATTACCCAGCACTAGGTTCGAAATTTGACGCTGCGTGGCATTCCTCAACATTTCATTGTCAACATAATATGGTTGAACATACGAGCATATTACACTAACCGCAATAATCACCCGTCATAGTCCAGGTGTAACTTTATCATCGATGGTGACATCTATCCAGACCTTTAGCTGCTCCCATATCCGCTCGCGCTCTTGCTCTAACTTCGTCTTCACCGTCTTCTGCGCGCGTTCACAATAACCCAACAGCGTCCAATCCTGCTTCAGGAGAGTCTTGATGCCGAGGATAGGATTCATCGGATACTTCGTCCTCGTGTGCACGACGATTCCTGGTGCATGGTGATACAAACCGCACGACGAATCCGAGCATTTGCACTCCACCATCCGCCCGATGTCTTCCCAAGACGCTTTCAGATGACTTTGCAGTGCAAGATGGAGCATAACATCTTTGGCGGCGAGGCTACGGACATTAGGGTCGCCTTTGAGGAGCGACTCTGCGGACGCTTGAGGGAAGGTATACTGTGACCGTGCGAGGTCGTAGAAGGCGCGTCGGAGGATCTGGGGGAGGTTGAAGGACCGCCCAATGAGGATGGCGTGCGAGGCGAGGGTTTGGATCTCTTTTGTGATGGACTCCCAGTTGTCCGCGAAGAGGCTGCTGATGCTCGTTCGCGCATATTCGAGGCAGCATTGTACGCCAAAGAAACTTGACGCGGTTAGGATTCGAGCAAGGACATCGTAGCTCGGCGAGTTATGAGCGAAGTTGCTATGGAAATGTCAACGATGGTGAGAGAACAAGAAAAGCAAGTTCACGTACATCCCAGCGTCCATGGCATTCAGGAGTTCAGCAAACCCGCGAGGGCTCGGAATATTTGGCACTCCATCAAGGAAAAAACAGTCGAGCTCACCTACCAGTTCGACATTCTTCAGCACGTTTTCGACACCGTCGCGACCCTCGAATCCAGCCTGCCCAGGCCGCCCTGCTTGACGGTCAAACAGGTATCTAAACCACGTCGAGCGGTCCATCAACCGACTTCTATACACCTTGAACCGAATTCCTCCAATTTGCACCATGATGTTCCCGTCTGGTGCCCAGTGAACGTCGTGCTGGACAAACGTCTCGCGTGACTTGGATGGTCTTGGTTGCGAACAACTCTCCTCTTCCTGACGCTTCCGTTTTGAGACTGAACGCGGTGTGACAGGGAATTTTGCTGTCGACGCGTTCGAAGAAAGAGAAAGCACGGAGCTCGTTTTCGAGATGGTGGGGAGTATGGGTGTTTGAAAACCAAGTGCTGGCGAACTTTTCACCCCAGGCCCGAGGAGGTCGGACGACTTGCTCGCAGTGCGGATAAGCCTTGGACTTTTGCGGACGCCGGTGCTCATGGTGGTGGCGATGGTGGTGGGAAGAGAGGTTTAAACGGCGGGAAAAATGATCAACCAAGTTTGGGATCAACGTGGGCAGGCAGAACGCGCTAAATCGACCCTGAGAGTCGCGTCGTCGCATTTCGTGATGGGCCAAAGTTAGAATGGAGTTTTGAGAATACTCCAATTCGCAAACCCAGAAAACTCAACGCGCTCTTCTTTCTGGAACACGCGTCTCGACGTGCTGGCGGGTGATTAGGAAATGCGGAGTGTCTCTATGTCTCTAAACTTGCAGCCAAGCGTGAATGTAAGTAGTCCTTTATCGGCGAGTGCAAGAGATTCCAAAAATCACATCGACACCCAGCTTATTCACATGTAAATTCCACATCGAAGGGGGAAAACCCCGCAGGACGTTGAAGGCAAATAGGGATGAAGGGAAGAGAAAAGCTCCTCAGGCGATCGTTTGGCGATTGTTGTCGGAAATCGTGGGAATATACATATTATGGCACGGTCCGGACCGAAACCGTGATAGCTCATGTACTTGGAACTGGGGGGCTTACATGAAAACGCTACTGGACGAAGAGTAAAAATTTCACATTTCTATATACATCCACAAACAGAACGGCTAAAGGAAAACCTAAAGGCACCCCGATGCTTGACGCCCAGTACAGGCTTCAGCTTTAACTTTGACCCCTCCACCATGCCACTGTTCCTTTCGTGTTCGAAAAGAGCCAGCGATCCACGGACAATTTTAGCATCTACGGAACATAACGCATCTGTTCCAACAAAAACGTGAAACGAGATCCAGCTTCAGAGAGTATTGACGCGTGAAGGCCCGGCCTCGTGCCATGACGCTGCTGCGCGTGCACGAGAACTCCATCTTCGGGGCAAATTCCCATCCATGGAACCTACTACGCAATACACTGATTCTTAGCCCGAGTCCGCGACACACGGACACCTTTTTCCTATATCTGAAGTGTCATGTCAGAAGGTGACTAAGTGTTCACCTATCTATGCTGTGACTTTCGGAGAGATTCTGACCCAGAATAGGAACACCGAGAGATGGAAGGTTATATCTCCGAGCCGAGTCGACGAGTGTGCCCGCGGCACCCACGGCTCGAGCACCGAAGAGATAAGTGACCGAAAGTCAGCACTCAGCAACCTCGATGACTCGCTTTTCCAATGGCTCTGAAGGGAACTGCCACTTTGTTTTCTCCGCAGCCGTCGGAAATGAAAATCCGTTCCTCAGACTGAACAGCTCGAACAAAGATAGAGTTTTAATGCTATTCTGTCACGTCATTATGGCAAAATTATTGGGCTGCCTGGGACTTCGGGAGGGAATTTCCTTCCTTGCCGAGAGTGGCGCACCCGGATCGGGTCAATCCTTCCCGGTCTGAGTTCGGCGGTAGTTCGAGCACAGCGAAAGGGACGCTCGGTCATCATGCTTCAAGAGCCTGCCTCCCGAGGAACGATCGTTGTGAATTGGTCATAGGGCCAAGAATCAAGACAAAAAAATGACTACTCGAGTCATGTAATTCGCCTTGATATTATTCAAGGCTGAGACGAGTCACAAGATATCTGGTACACGAACCTATATGTTATATGAATCGGCAAGGAGAAAAAGATTTGATTCAGGTGCATGTATTAGGATTATACAGTACAATCGGAATGCGATTCTCAACTCTCAAGTTGGACGCAAATTGACGTGACACAGCCAGAAAGGAAGTGACAAGCAACATGTAAGCTGGAGACGAGGGATCCACAATGCGCAAGAGGTGTTAATGGTACAATGTAAACTGCAAGGATATTGTGAACTCGAATTAAAGAGGAATCCTGGATATGGATGTATACGATCTGTAGAGACCTGAAGCTCGGATATCAATGCAAACGACGATAGATACAAAAATGCAAAAGAACAACGAGGAGCGAGCAAGTCCACGCAATAGATATGATACCAGCCCTACCGCAGTCTTGAAATTTCTAGAAGGAAGTAAATGTTTCCTGAATCTTGCCTACTTGGAAACCTGAAGCGGACATCAACAACGTCTCCGGTATCGCAAAGAGAGTCGACGTACTGAGAAGAGGAATGTTCACCGCGAAGTCGGACATGGCAGTCATCGCCTGCTGGATATATCCCAGAAGAGGGGCCTCATCGCCAGCATGAGCACTGGAGGCACGCATGGTGCGGATGCTCGTGACTTCGTCGAAGAGGACCTGGGCAGCTTCGATCCAAGCCGTCTGTTGGATAGAATAACTCAGTTAGAACTCAGCATATGGAATGGCTGAGGACTTACCCCAATAATAGGGTCAATCCATCCTGCCGGATGTCCTGCCTGCGCAAGACGGCCTCGTAGGGCCAAGGTGCCCTCGAGGACGCTGCGAGCAGCACCTACACGTTTTCTTCGTGAGCTCTCGCTCCTCCCGTCCGCGGCGAATGGTGCGTGGAGGCGGATGGCTGCCGCGTCGAGCATGGAGTGGGCGACTACCAGCCTTCGCGCGCGCTCAATGGAGGGCAACCGGGTGGGATGGAGTGAAGCGGCAGTGGCAGGAGGCATCGCCGCTGTTTGGGCATCTAAGATGTTGGAAAGCGATGTAAATTCCTGGAGCGCTGATTGTATGGACTGTGGGTTTGTTTGGGCGTCTAACAGCAATTAATACACAGGAGTCAGGAGTCCATCAAGCAAGAAACAAGAGACGTACTGAGATTGTGTTTCTTGCAAAAGTCCGCGACACGTTCCCAGAGGATGGCCGCCTTGGCCTCCAGTGCTCGGCTGGACACGCCAGCGTCCGGAGTTTGAGCTCGACTGAGGAAATTATGGACGGTATTACTAGTCCGCACGTGCTGTGGCAGTACCCCCTGACAAAGAAGAGCGTTGAAGGTAATTAGCGCCCAGTATTAAAGCTAAAAATAGAGTCTTACCTGCTCGAACTCTTCGATCTCGAGGGGCCAAGGCGTATCTATCTTGGTCCCCATGGCGTGCGTAGAATGCAGAAAATTGGGCTCGTAATCCAGTGCCACAGCCCAAACCTTATCCATTGTGAACACGGTCCAACCGGCGATGATGCGTTCGCCCTCCTCGACGGCATCTCTGGCAGGCGCAAGTTGGTTGTTGCCTGCACCGACACTGGCTACGGGCGACCCGCCGCCCGGGGATGCCGAGCGTATTTTGTGCAAACCAGCGGAAAGCGCCGTCGACACGGCCGTGGCGAGGTGGTACTTGCCTTCGAGGAACCTCCCCTGGGCGAAGAAGTAATTCGCCAGCAGCACCTCCGCCTGGATCGAGTGCATCACCTTGTTCGGGTGATTGCCCAGCAATGCCGTGCTCGCCTCCTGCGTCGCGCGGGTCAGGTAAGCTTCCTCGTTCGCCTGCATCGTGGGGTCATTCGACAGTCTGATCGCCCACAGGTACACACTGAAGATGAGCGCAGGTGCTGGTCGTGCGGGGTGCCCAGGTGCTTGTGCCTGGAACATCGACGCGCGGAACCGCGGCAGATGCAAGAAGAACCCAAAGTCAGTAGCATACGGCATAAACGTGGCTAGGCTATCGACCGGGGCGGTGAGGAGAGACGAAGGGGACATTGTAAGCGAGTGGTACTGCGTACGGGGAGCGAAGACATACAGGGTCTCTGCGACGTTCCTCGGAGGGTCTTGAACCGTCGGTCGCTGGAAGCTTGAGGATGGAGCGGGAACGGGCAACCCCCGACCTTGACTGTGGCCTGGAACCATGGGTGGAGCGCCACCCATGTATGGCTGGTGAAGTCGAACTGCAGCTGCGTTAGCCGAATTCGGGTTTTGGAGTTCCTGGATTCGGGCTTCGAGACGGCTGATGTTGTCTTCCAGAATCTGAACAGTCGAACGCTCAGAGCCGGCCGTATATTCACAGTCCTCTGCGCGTCCAGCACGTTCGCATTGGCCACAGATAGGATGCTGGCCATCGCATTTCTATATCAAACCGTCAGAAGGCTTCGACTTAGTGGCGCGTTGGAAGGTCCAAGACGCACCATTTTCCTGCGTCGGCAGCTAACACAAGCACCACCGCGAGGAAGATAGCCTTGAGAGCCTTCACTGCGTTTCGACGATGAGGAGGAAGACATAGCGAAGCTAGAGAAGAAGTCGAGTGAGGTTAAATGCCCAAGAGAGAAGATAAATGAGAATGAGGTACCTCGGATGAGTCCCCCGCTTTAAGTACTTTCACTGCCCGACTTTGAAACCATTTCCGGAGCTGGCACTCGGGGGTTGCGCGTAAGAGGGCGAACCTGACAAACAAGATCGCGACAGGTAGATTCGGAAAGTTTAGTTACTGGGAAGAGATTGGCATCCCTGTACAGCCTGCTTGAGCCCATTTGGGCATCGGAGAAACCACCACGGTCTGAAGTAATGGCTGCGTATTGGACGAAACGAGATGTGCCTGCGTTTGACAAATTGGGATCGACGATGGGGATGATGTCCACACGTGGGCTGATCGCTGATTATTTCAAATCCGAATCGTCATGACTCGGCACGAACATCTCCGATCACCTAAGGCTCAACTTCTGTCAGATCCTACAGTCGTCAGCGAGGGTTACATTACCTCTGACTCCTACGATTCTCCCCGAGCCTTCCTTAGTTCACGGATGACAAAAACATTCACGAAAGTTCCATCACGGTCGAATATTGCAAGTTTTGAACAGCTCAGGTGCAGGTGGCAGCCGAGACCACCTCACCTGGTCCGCAAAACATGAACCATCATGTCAGGTCGCTTTCTGTCCGGATTCTTGTCGACCGAATGGTGCTGGTTGTCCTCCGCTCTGGTGTGTTCACCAGCGAGAGACAGAAGGTGGTCACAATCATAAGAAGATCATCGCGAATAAGCGCTGGACATTTAAGGCTTACTTGTGCGTTATCGTCGTAGGAGAGACGCAGATGTGGCGGGTGAAACAAAGGATTCATTTCGTTGGCCGTTTGCATCCGCGATTGAGGTGCGGAGCTTCAAATGCATCCAAATATGGTATGCCGCGGTAAGATGCCGCGGCAACTCGTTTCTCCATTGTCGAGCGTTGAACAGCAAGATAAAACTTCTGGAAATACGAAGACAAGGCAAGCTTTTCGAAAGGTCCGAAAGATCCATTGGAAGTCTAACAGCTCCAACATAAAAAAGGACGAAATTGAACGGCCACCAAACGCTGGCGAATTCCGAGCCTAGTTCAAAAGAATTTCCTTTACTTGTTTGATGTTACATATGTCAAGCCTTATATTGTATCCGATACCAGAAACTCGACTCTTTCACCCCATGGATTTCAACCTTCCAGAACCTCGTAAGACCGAGCATAATATTCAATTAGGGCTCACCCAATTTAGGTTCGGGAAGATGCCGTGAAATTGCTAGTGCAAAGAAGTCGAATCCCCTGATCCTGCTTCCATAGTTGGCCGAACACTGAGGTATATGGCCACGGCTGACTTAATATATTTTAATATATTCTGATCTGTTTAAACCGCCAGGATTACTTACACCTGCGTTTCCAAGGAACTTTATTCATAAACTATTTCTTTACAGACTTTCATTCGAAGGTTCCATCCACATCAAAACGCATTCCCGTACAAAGTTTACTATTTTTAGGTACAACGCCAACCACAGGCGCAGAGCTGTATGAACTGCCATGTGAGTCCATAACTCGACTGATCTCCCTCACAAAAATCTCGTATTGGAACGCTTTTCATCCTCCTTTCCTGGCTGCACCTGTGCGTCTCCTAACGAGCTGCCTTATGCTTTGCCCATGTATCCGTACTCAACGCGTTCAAAATATCAGCCCGGCCATCTACGGTGAATCTGCGACAGCGGCAGGAATCCTCCGCGTTACGCCAGTTTACACACTTGACGGAACAGAAGAAGGGGAAGTGGGTCCACATGGCCGAGGATGAAACATCGAGAACCACCTGGACTTAGGCGCTGCTCAAAATATAGTACGAACGACCGACACCTCACGGAAGTTGACGTCAAAAAACATGAACCATGTTCCATTTCTCAAGAGAAAGGCGTGAGTCAATTATCTCAACGGCCCACTCAGTACACTGTGGGCTGCAGCCGGTTCTCTCCATGGCCCGTAGTACATCTTGCTGGCTGTACAGAAGGAAATACCTCGACGTCTATTTTATTCTTAGAGCCCAATCTCATAACGCCTATCCGCAGTTCTCGGAAAAGAGAAATACAGGCATAATCATGCTGAATGAACAAGTAGTCATTGTATTGAAGGTATTACTACACAGTTCGTATCGTGAAGCAGTGCAGAGAGGCCAAACTTGCCCTAACTCCGATCTGTGATATCTATGAGACCATCTCTCCGTCATAGGTTTACGAACAACTGTCAGACCAACTTCCCAATGGGCAGTGCCAATAACTTCGATGATTCCGCCTCATCTCGGCCTACCTGGGATAGTCAAATCGCTAACAACACTCCGTAGCTGATTTCAAATGCACTTACACCACTTTCCGACATGTGCTCCTTCATTTGTCATTTTCGCGGAAATAGGGATCGAGGGATCCACCACTGCGAAATTGCGCCTTGAAATAGCGAACTCGACATCGAAGCATCGAGGCACTACGCCTGATCGCCATCACTTGACACTAAGCGAGTTGCAAGCGCCACCTGCCTGTTAGGGACCACACGCCACCACGAGCAGACACGCTCGTCCGTGCTCCATATTATTTATCTAAAATTTGGCCTTGAAAACACGAAAAGGTCGAAGGGGTCATCTGTGAGGCTGTTCTCCGAGAGAAAGGCTCTTGCATGCGTCAGATAGCAATCAGAGGAAATTGACACGAGGCCAGGCCGTTCCTCCTTCACCCGTTAGATCAACGATCTTGTGCTTTCCTTGTATTCTTCGCGTCTCTTCCCTCGGTTCCAATCTTAACGGTCTCATGCTGACTGAAAATAAGCTGTTTTTCCCACCCGATCCCCAGCATGATGCCCAAGTAAGGACCAATTTATGAGTCAATGGCGGATTTGGTCTTCTAAAACGTGTTGACAAAGTTAGGCGCCCATATGGAGTTTCCGCTACATTCCAGAATAGTACAACACGCACCCGCACGCTCACTCGGAGATTATACAGACAGGTGATTCTATTCTCCGTGATCTTAAACGTAACTTGACCTTAAAAGTCGCCTCTTTCCGGAAATGACTCCAATCGCTTCTCCCCGTGTGAGAGAAAGGCACCAGGGCCCATTGCAGCTCGGTGTAGTAAATGAGTCCATGTAGGCTGATCCAGATGGCGGCTATCCATCCCAAGCTTTGGTGTGGAAGATTGTGAAGCCTTCTAGAGTTCTCCCGAGAGTGTTGGAATACCGACTGTGAAACACTCTTGGCAGTCACCCTAAATCCGTTACGGTCCATCTCTCCGTCAGTACCTACTCCTCGTTCTCGCCGTGTTTATGAGAATCTATATGGACCCCATCATAAAAAATTCAAAGTATTAGGGCCATCCGTGTCAGATGAGACCCCTACTTATTTAAACTCTAATTTAGTACAATATTATATGTTGCTGGTTGAGGCAATAGATCTTCACAGACCCGATATGTTTTCTCCTCCACCTTCGCTGTCGGTCTTTAATTTGAATTGCGCTTCTAATTACTCGGTGACCCCACCATACCATGATAAATTTATGGGCATCCAAATACCAGTAACAGTTACTGAAAGATACTGAATGGCCGTGCACTACTGCATTCTATCGCCGATGACTCCTTGAAACGAATCATTTGCGCTTCCTACTCTCCAAAGGCGCTTACAAACGGAGCTGAGTCACACTCAAGGAGCTAACTCTATTATGGCATTATCATCCTCGATCCCGGACATGTGAAGCGAGCATATGGTCGTTTGATCAGCGCTATCAAGCTGGGTAAAATGTGAGGTCAGGTAGGGAACCATTGCAGTTCGAGAATATGTTCCAGAGCCGCTCAGCACAACTGCCACAGAAGCGTCACCAGAGCACTCGCACAAACGCCTATGTGGCCGTCAACGCCTTCTTTCCGCGCCGGACAGCTTCGACTATGCCTTTGGATTCCTTATTTTGATCGGTCTAACTTCCTATAGCGGCAATGAAGTGTCCATTTTTAGCATACAGCGTGAGACCCTAAGGATACGCCAGATCGCGCTGCAAGGCGTCGTGAGCCCTTTTCTTGCCGAAATCAAGATATCCTTCTATGATACGACTAGAAGTTAGCCGCTGGATTCTATCTACCTGTCCCCAGGTCCCCTGTCATTTTCTCGTCTTTTGCTTTCTTCCATCTCCCACCTTCGCCACCGGCTGCTGCGAAATTTTCGTCAAAAAACAAGCCAAGCTTGCCTCATCCAAAGTTCCATTTACCCACTCTTATTTTCAGAATATTACCGAAGGCGCATTGTACCGCTGCAACGCGCGTTTTTAGATCGCGATTATTCATAGAAATACCTTCCAATCCCAATGGAGCCTCGCCCCTCCGTCATTTTATTTCATGAGTACTCTATGGTTTAAAGCAACTAGAACGAGGTATGAGTTTTCTCTGCACTAAATCTGAGATCCTCGTTCTCTGTTGCAAGGTTACTCCTATTTAATTTTTGTAAAATCATTGGTCAATGTGGTCGGCGCCATGTAACCGCATTGGGCTCCAGGTGCATTTGCTTCACGAAACGGCCAACAAATCTGCCCGCACCGTTCCTCCCCGAAGGGAACGCAAATACTTTCGAAGTGGAAATTAATCCTTGTTCTCCGGGTCGTCCGTTCCGCATTCTCGACGCCCGTTCGATGGATGGCGCAGTAGACCGGCGTTGGATCAAACGGCCTGCATTATCGGCATAATTCCAGTACTCCATTACACTAAAGAGCCCTCCCAGAACGTTCCAGGGTCCTAACAAGGGTACCCATCGAGCCAGGTTCCACACATCTCATCCCGGATTCGAGTTCAATCCCTCACCGATCGGTCAAGGAATAATATTATTATTATTACATCGCGTGGACCCTCTAAGGATCTGCGGGACAATGGAGGGAGTAGGAAAGTCGAGTCTAAGCTATAGAGACCGAAAGACGTGGTGTTTCCCGGATGCACTATTATCCATTACGTGACAAGGTTGCAGACCTGTGTCTCGAGCACGATTAGAAGAGCGATACCCATGAAATGCTCTATCTGGATTGAACTTGGGGAGAGTGTGTTCTATGAGGAGGCAGAATAGGGACTAAAGCCTCGGATGACTAGTTCGATCGGGGTATCTGCAAAAATTGCCTCATACCCGCGTCAATTCGGTACAGCCTTGAGGTCCGCCTCCTTATCGGAATGACACCTAGAGGAAAACTTCTGCTGAGTCACTCAACGCTTCATAGTTACACCAATGCCAACAACTTCTAATTTTACCTCTATAATGGCTGCAAGAATCGGAGAATTTTTCGAGAGTATCGATCCGGTTCAGACATAGACACCCCCAACATCTGTACGGCGGACATGTCTTCGGAAATGACCTTGACGCAATCAGACTGGCAGTATTCAAAGCAGAAGTGCCTCACATCATCGTGGCGAAGCGCGGGTGAACGGAAGAATACGGGAGGTGGGAATGGGTTTCCGACATGGCCTAGACCTGGACTCCAAGAGAGGCTGGCGCTACGTCATCAAATAAGTAGGCTTGAGCCACTACCCGCCGCCATAATACTGACAATGAAACCTCTCAAAACTTACAGCCAACAACATATTCTATCCTCATGTCAAGAGAGTATACGAAGGTGATCCCTCATGGCATGACTCATCACAGAGTGTATCTGAAATCCGGAGCACGATCACCCATCTCTCGCAACTGTTGAGCAGAATGCTTGTTCATTTCTCCGCGTTCAAGAGCAAGTCGCTGCTCCTCGCCGCGCTTCTTGTTGATCCTCAGATAGGTGAGGATGATGATGGGCACCGTTATGAACCCGACGCCGACGAACATCAGTTCCAAACCGTCTGGAGGCAAATTCGATTCAGACCGACGGGGAGGTAAATACGAAAGTAAGACGTACGGCCAAGAATAAACCGCGGAGAGTCCCTCGAACGGTATATGTTCGCTGCGATGGCACCACTGAAGTTGCCGATCCCGATGTGCATCGCCATCCCAATACCGCGCTTATACTGGCCTGCTAGGTTATTTCCTAGCCTGTACAACGAAATGCTCCGGCATTTAACCCCGAGACGTGGAATGTGTCATCATGGGAAAACGTACCATGCCACGATACCGGGAAAGGCGCCATAGCTCCCAGCCACCACGAAAAACGTACCAAAGTACTTGACCCCAGTAGGCACATTAGAAATGTTGATCGAAAACCCGACGAGGCAGAATGTGAGTCCGACGAGTATGAAGGGCGAACGAATCTTGAGACGGTCGGAATAGTATGCAAACACGTAGACAAGGATGGCTGGCAGGCCAACGGTCAAAGCAGACACGCGCCTAATATCGTAAAAATTCTTACTTGCGACAACATAAGGGGGAACTGTCAGAAGCTGGCTGATAGCGGGCGGGTGACCCCAGGAATTGATGATTGTTCTGTGAACAAGTTAAAGAGCAATCCAAGCTGAACTCTACGATGCGCTCACGGCAAGAACAGTGTGATGCCATAAACTGTGAAATGAGCTTCATTTAGCAGAATGCTGACCAGGTGATAAGTCGACTTACGCGGCCCGACAATTGACATGTAGGCGAGGATATGAGTCCAAACCTAATGGAATATGTGTTTCCTAAGCATTCCAGACGGACACGCATGAGCTCACGGAGCGTACCTGCCAATCAGAGACCGCAGCCCAGAAGTGGCGCGTCTCGAAGTGCTCCTCTTCGCCCACACTCGAGTTGTCGTATTCTACACGAAGCAAGGTACATCGTTAGCCTAGCGTCATGGCAACGGAAGTCAAGAGATCGAGAAACGCACTCTTCTTGTATACGAGGAACGATCGTTCTTCGAGGGTCAAAAATTGCGCCGTTGCTGGAAAATCCACTAGAACTACAGCAAAAGTTAGGTATCCCTCCCATCTCTAAGTGCGTAAGTATTACGTACCGAAGAATGCGAGAATTCCGACAGCCACCGTCGCAATTCCTTCTAGAATCTGTTGACAAAATGCAATGATCCTTCAAAATTCAACTGGCGGCGTTTGGTGATACGGCAACATACGAAGATCCACGACCATCCAAGGAGACCTTGCGTCCCACTCATGAAGCTGATGCCATACGCCAGCAGACCGGAGAATGCGCCCGCGAGCGAAGCAGAGCCAAAGAAGAGCCCAATTCGGAATTGGAGCTGGTGTCGAGGGTACCAGAGGCTCAAACTAATCGAAGAGCTCCAGTATGAATACTGGCATGGTTTTCAACAAGGACTCACTAGTATACAACCCCAGGGAACAGCCCTGCCTCGGCGACTCCCAGGCACACACGCGCTCCTACGAGTTGGGGGTAGCTATTTTAAGATTGATAAGTTGCTCGGTCATCGATGTGGTGTCTGCAGCATAACTGAAAAGAAACGTACTTCTTGACGAGGCCCATCAGCGTCCTAAGGCCACCCAAGAGGTGCGAGGAAGGTCAGTCAAGTAAAAATGTATCCGGAAACGCTGCTGGCACTGACGTGACGATGCCCCAAGCAACCTGATATAGAAGACTATTCAGAACAGTGTCGGGCGGGGATGGGTTGTGAAGAACTCACTGTGATGCCAGGGAGCCATCTATACGAGATGAGGGTAAGGTATAATCGGACATCAATCATTTGAGCGATGCACTGACTTGGAAGGACGAAATCGTTTGAGAACGAGGCTGCGATACGGTGTTAGGAGATGTTGAGCAACACAATGAGAGCGGTGACAACAGACACACTTCGCTGGGCACTCGAACAGGCAATAGGGCTTTAAGACGATTTATTTGTTTGTGATCTGTAGAAGAGAGGTAGAGACACCTTACGATGAAAAACATCGTCTACGGCGTAGATTGAGCCTTTGCCTTCACGGAAGCAAAAAGGATATTACCAATGCAATATTGTATTCAGTTCCGGACAACTCAAGCTGGCTCTGTAGACCCTGTAACCTGGCATTCCCTGACGCAATATGAGCAAGGGCATGGATCCCTCCAGTAGAACGCACCAATATTTCCTGCATAAATTAGAATCAGAAGAAATTCGAAAGAGATAACACCAGGTCTGCTTACCTCGGTCTAGAAACGATAATAGGTACATCAGAGCAAGGATCGGCATCAGTCTTTTGTCGACCTTGCGCCATAACTTCTTCTCTTCTTCTTCAGTGAGGTTTGGAGGAGGTGGTAGCGTAGATTCTCCTCCGAAATCGATGTTATGTGAAGAAGCGCTATCGCGCTTTTCTTGGACAACCTCGTGGAGCGAGGGAGTAGAAACCTTTTTGTCCGACATGGCGGGCGGGAAGAGAGATACGATTTGAGCTCCAGAACCTTCATAAATAACCCAGATAGCCTACAGTCAGACTCCGCCGATGGGGTTAATCACCGATGAGCCCCGTTGACAAACGTCGAACGCCCGGTGACGAATGGTGGCGAACTTCTGCTGAAGCCATTACCAAACTATTTTTAGTCGATACAGGGTCACAAGGACACACCTGCATGCGACTTCTCGATGAAAAAGATGAAACGACACGACGTTTCGTGGGGAAACTTTCGTTCTGTTCCTATTGGAGTCGTGGTAGGGGAGTAGGGGCTCCGCATTGAAAGAAAGGAAGCCCTAAGACGATAATCGTACACACTTCTGAACGGATCGAGATGTTCTTTGCACCCAGACCTGCTGAGTTGAGGACTTCGGTCTTGTCCCAACCGTTTACGGTGAACCCGAAGCCAAGAGGGCAGCCTGCCAGCTGTTGTAAGCGTAATCAGGCGTAATGAATGGCACGGGAAAGTTGGGCAACAAACCAATTCGTACGCAACGGGGATACGCAGATAATTTACTTTCTCCTCGTCTTATCCCAACCGTTCACGTTGAGGGGGAGCATATTTTGAAAGCTTGGGGTTTTCGGCTCGATGGCTTGAGATATTTCCCGGAAATTCCATGCAAGAAATCCTTGCGAAACCCAGTAGTTTAATGGTTTAGGACTTTCCGTCCACCTAGTTGCATTGATTACAGTGGTAGGATCATTTTAGGATATCTGAGGATTTCAACGTACCTGCACTGACAGACGGTAATTTCTCGCTTTGACGGTCACGTCGATGTTACAGCAGACTTCGAGTCTTGATTGAGTCTCCAGGAAATCGTTGTAAACTTGAATGTTGAAGATTTCAGCTGCATTGATAGTCAGTTGATGATTGATATCGGCGTCCCAAAAGGACAACTTCAAGTAAGCAGAGAGCCCGAAAGCTCTGAAATGTGAAAAGAGCCTGAAGGTGAAGGGAAACCTAAAGAAATGGTAGTCCGTGGCTGGCCGTGGTCGGCAGCGCGGAGTTTCAACATATTCGCACGGTCTATGACCCGCTGCTCTCTTGCAACCACTGGCAACACCACCTCCTGACTTATACGTATTTCCGACAGCGCGAAAAATTCCTGCAGGTTCCTGATATAATAAAATCTCCTCTTTAACTTTGCGATGGCGGGAAGACGCCTTGCGGACATAGTGGGTTTTCAACTTTCTCGTCGGGCTGTCCTGTTGCTTAAATACTGTTCCTATAGCCCGATGGTTTTGGCCTTGATCTTCAGTGGGGATAGCATCGAGTTGTCGGCGTCGAAGATAGTCTTAGAGACCACCCCGTGAGTTGGAAATATCCGTTCTCTGTGGTCGATGCTGATAGAGCGCATGTCAGACGTAACCTGAGCGAATTTCGGATTGTTCTTCCTATGTTGAACAGACATCCGACACCTCCCGACTTTTCATTCGCGCCGCTTCCAGAGTTCGAAAGTACCGTGCCGAGTCACCTCGCTCCTCTCTTCCACACGACGAAGATTCATTAAGGACTGCTGCCGTCGACCTAGTTAACGTTTTCCAGCTCGGGCCAACAACTCATTGGGGACAAGGTTCTACTCAGCAAGTACCAGCGGATGGTTCATATGAAGTGCGGTTGGTTAAGGTCGTTTTTGGCGGATTTTGAGGCACGTCATCCTCACTCTCATCACGCAATGTGCTCAGCTGATATCCACTCTTTCCTAGGAATCAAAAACATCTCAAATAGTGATGAAGATATCGTCACAGGTCTCAGCGAGGTTCTATCTTTCATTCTGTTTGAATATATTCTTTTGGATCGAGTAAGTTTTATCACCGAGGGCCGTTTGGAAGATACTGACGCCCTGCAGGGATACCAACCCGACCTTATATTTCGCTGAATACGTCGAAGCCTCCTTTAACATACCACCCCGCGACCTTGGCTAGATCTCCTTACAGAAACCCTCGCTCAAAGGGTGTGTGCCTCAGCGTAAAATACCCGTCGTCGCAGGTACGGCTCGAACAGCTGAATACGAAGGCTGTTCGCTCAAAAGTCGTCAATTAAGTCACCTTAGGCACGAGGCCATCCCGAAATGGATTGAAAGTGGATTCGCGAAGCCCTTGTCCATCCTCCTATCCATCGGTCTGCAAGCTATCGAGCTCCACAACGAGCAACGGCGTCCTGACAGCCGATACGTGGAAGATCTCCTCTGAGCGCGTGGTCCCGACTCTATCGCCCAAACAAGTTGCCGGGCTTGCCCAGCACGGTCATCCCTGCGTTGACTTAGCGATTCTCAACATGGTCTACGCCGGATGTCGAATCATCAACCCTATTCGTAGGTGTCTAATCACGATACGATCGTCTGACTTGGGAATACGAACAACGGACGCCTGGTCTCTCCTCTTCCTCCTCTACCCAGCCTTCCGCCCACTCGGATACTCCGCCTCGTCCGGTTGATGCCCCAGATCGCCGTCCCGCGGCGTTCGTGATCACCATTGCCGCTAATCAGCAACACGAAGTCAGACGAAGGGTGTTTACGAGTCGGATTTTCCGCATTTTAGAGGAGCATGGTGTCTAGCCGGACATGATGAGCAGTGCGCATGCCTTTGTTGAGCTTGCATTCGAGGAAGAGAGGTTCCAGAGCGATGTTAGGCCCCTTGATGAGTTTGGGCGATGGACTGTAGGTCGTTCGATTTCCGGGTTGGGCGACTCTAACCTTCTAGTTTCGTCTAGGTCTTTGTGCAATACAACCTTTCCGCGCTGACCGTAGTCGCATCCAATGTACCTTTCACCACCAGCCCAACCACTGGGGCCGGCGCAGCAGGGCACCTCGTCTCAACTCTTACGCAAAATCGGACCTGAGATTGGCGTGAGCTTGTCGTGTGTCATTAGTGCGAGGGATTCAGATCGGACTGTTGGGTTGGTGCACCAGACGACGTTCAGGAAGATCAGGAAGTGACGGAAGGTATGTACGTTTCTGGTGTTCCACACCTGTTGGTCTCATTACAACCGTTCCCAGATAGTTTCCTCTAGTCTCTTGCCCCGAGCTTCACGCTGGTTAGATTATGTAATCCAACAGCTCATGCAGAGCGCCTATTCGTTTGCTTTCGACTTGAAATTTTTCCCGATCGTAATGTTGTCCTCCGAAGGCACTCGTACCGTCATCCCCTCGGCCAGCAATGTTCACTGAGTCACAGTGCCACTGGCATATACAGCATGTTCGCGGTGTTTTTGACTGTCACATGCTGTCCAGGCCTACGATAGAGTAGGTGCCATTGGGTTACAGTGCACTCAAATACATGCCGGAGGCAGGCATGAGCGACGCTTGTGGCGCCCAAGCAACGTCTGAATTTGGAAAGCCGCGCCAAAATATGTCATTGTGCTGACGAAACTCGGTGAGTGCGCATTCCCCTTGAGCGATCACAATTTGGACGCTCTCGAGAGCTGTCGTCAGTCATCCGATGTGTCTGGACGGTATATAGGCGAGATGATGGAAGCTGCGAGCATTGATCTCACGTCCCCTCTTTTTCTTTTTTTCTCTTATGCCTACGTCGGTGTCCTCGCGCCCGACGTCTCGCACTACGATGACCGTGGAGAAGCCTACGGGAAGATTCAGGGACAAGACGAAGGAAGCGGCAGTTGCACGAACCATCTACCTGGAGATATTTTTCGGAGGGTGCATCACGACAATCTTGATCTTCTTCCCTGTTTTCTCGATATTCTGGGGGTCTTTGTGGAGAACGCCAGCACATAATCTTCAAGGTTGGGTCATCGTAAGCGTTTCCGTTAACGTATATCTCTATTCCGTTTGTGATATGCTATTCAGGACTTTGATGGCGCTGCTATTGGGCAAGGAGTGGTTGAGGCGCTAGCTACACCACCCCCTGGAGCAAGGATTACATGGACACCCGTACTCGCATCCCAATTTCCTGGAGGGCCGCACGATGTTGGACTGCAAATCCTGGACCAGAAGTCATGGTTAGCCTTGACAAGTACGTTGTCTTGTCTCTGATTCACACCGTACTAGCTGACCGCCTTGTTCAGTCAACCCCGGGACGACTGCCCGACTGACAGCATCTATCGCGTCACCAAACGCCTCCTACAACGGAGCCGACGCCATCACCGTGTTCGCGACCGAGGCTCGCAATGAGAACGCATTGTAAACATGTTCTTTCTCTATTTTTTTTCGTGCTCTTTCTGCTCATTCCGGGAACCCCAGTCGCAGTATTATTCGGCCTTCTGTAAGCCTGGCATCTATGCTCGGATATAGTTCACTGACCTGGCGAATAGATACAAATAACGATGGATGTTTTATCCAACACAATAGCCGTTCAGACGGCCCGACAGGTCGCGAACTCGCCGAATATCGCTCAACTCTTGACCGTATCTCCTCAAACCGTGACTGCCCCCATCTCATACCGCATCAGAAACATGGCCCCTTTCGATCAGCCCGTGTACGTATATCTCGGCACCGAATATTCAAACTGACACTCAAGCACCCTCTAGCGCCGCAGCAGTGACTTTCATTGGGTTACTCTACCAGCTCATCCTCTCCTTCTTCGTTGTTGTAAGAAATTTCCATTTTTCGATACGCACCCCGCCATCAACTTCCTTGCAGATGAATAGCCATGGCGCACGAGAAGCCTCGGGACTTGACAAGACGCTCTCCACCCGCTCTTTAATCAAGCTTCGATTCGTGTCTTCGTTCTTCGCGTACTTCATCATCTCTGTGGGTCTTGGTTTTTTTCTCTATGACTGATCTATCTAACCCTTTGCGTGGTAATAGCTCTTTTATTCTCTCCTCAGTTTGGCTTTCCGGTTGAACGTGAACCGCAAGTGAGTGGCCACCGGAAATTTCCCCGATACCATTTCAAACAGTGTTATAGATTCGGACACTCCGGATTTATGATTTTCTGGATGCTCAACTATGTTGCCATGCTATCTGTGTACGTGAAGTAACCCTGTGGAAATCCTATGTCCGCTTGACCTCTCCTCGCAGCGGGCTTGCTTTGGAATCGCTCATTACCATCTTGACCCCCAAGTTCATCTCCTCCTTCATGATGATGTGGATTATCGGCGAGTTTTACGAGGTTCATGATCACCAAGCCGAGGGAATTGACGTATATCACCTCCTACAGTGAACGTGTCCATCTCCGTATCCCCTATTGAAGTAATGCCGAAAATCTATCATTACGGTTATGCAATGCCGTTCTATAACGTCTCTCATGGGATGCGGACCATCATATTCGGGACCAAGAACGTTCGTGAGTAGCATCCATAACTATCGCAGGCCCCCTCGCTGATAGCTGGTCTCTAGTCGGATTTACTTTTGGTGTCCTCTTCGTCTGGATTGCCATCTCGTGCATTACTCTTCCTCTTATACAAACCTGGTCCGCCGGCGACAACACCGGAATTCAGCGAAGATGTCGTCTGTACCTAGCGAGGACGCTTCTCGGGCGAACTAGATACCTACACGCTTAACTTATGAACACTTATTGGAATACTTGCGGTAGCTTAGTTCCGATCCCTACGTAGAAGAGTAGATTGATACCTTAATGTTTCGCTCTTTCGCCATTCAGGAGAATTATAGATAATTTCTTGAGCGCGAAATTCCATGACGTATGTTCTCCTCAATATGAGAAGAACTTTGAGTGCGTATTTCCAGAAGCACAACAAGGGTCCCATTCTCCCTTTTTAGTCTTTTTATTCCAACGGAACTTGATTATATAAGCAAAATAAGCGCCCATGCGTTCTGGACGGCTCTATGCCCGATTTAGAGGATGACTCGATTCCCACTGATTGAACCTAAATGCACGACCGAGAAGCCTCGTGGCAAGGCCAGTGGGCAACGTTCCCATGCTGCGCGTAAGCTCATTGCTGCTTGTCTTCGCCCCCGTTTCTACCCCCTCGCAATGGTCAGGTCACATAGGAAGACGATCGTTTTGAATGCCGCCCAATACACTGTCGAAGTCCTCTCATCCTGGGGATACCTGTGTGTAATCGTAGACGAGATGGCGGCATTCTTGCATGACGTTGGCCCTGTCCCCATGGTAAGTACCCTCGTCAGAGAGATACAGGCTGAAGTGATTACATTCTATCTAGGGTGTCCATCTCGTTATCGTACCCTTAGTTCAGGATCTGTCAGTTTCCGTCCAGGAGGAAGAAGAGATGCTCATTAAATACGACCCAATCCGCTTTCGAATGAGGAATTCGACCCTACACTACTACGAGCCCACCGTATCGGCTCCAAAGAGGGACTACTGCCCTGTGATGCTCATACCGGTCGCGGGCCCGCCGGCGTTGGAGTACAGTCTAGCCAACACGGTCAGACTGGGCGAGCTACCAGTTATAGATGTATTACCTCTGGCTGTTGGGATGATCAAGGACATTTCTTCCAAGAAACCTTCGAAGCGCCTACGGCGATTGCTTACCGACGTTCCCTTGCGTGGGCTACGTGCCCTTCCCGACAACTATTGTCTTCAAGCCCTGCGAGTTTTCGAGCAGGTCGCGCAACTTTCCGATCAGTTCTCTCAGCTCCTGCTGCCCTTTATTAATTTCTGCCGAGAACAATGCCTGCTGCCAGCGCGGAACGGGGGTCTTACCACAGTGTCCTCAAAGGATGATTGGATGAATACCAAGGAACCCTTGACACAAACCCATAATACAAATAAATTGGAGCCACATTCTCCAGCGACCAAAGTTGTCAAATCCAGGAGCAAGCTAGCTCACCACAAGCACGTTGTTGTCTCTAATGCCACCTGCGCCGTAGTGGACACCCTCCAGTCCATCGAGATAATGTGCGTACTGGTTGGCTCAATAGCATGCTTCCAACACGGAACTGGATCTACGCGTGGAGTGTGTTTGAATTCCATTTGTACCACATGATTAATTAGTTTACTGACACCTGAACGTCTCCCCAGGTCGTCGAAGTTGCCATAATACCTTCCGTCACGGGTATACTGTCGATTGACAAAGTCATCGCTTTCCTCTGTATCCAAGACCCCAACCGTTTCAGGGTTACAGAAGTCAAGAGGAAAGGACAATCTACTGCGTTGTCTCAGTTCCGCTACTACGAACCGACTGTTCTCCCTCCGAAGAAGAATTATTGCCAAATTGATCTCATCCCCGTCGCGAACCCCCCTCCGGTTCAATATTCCCGGCTTCATACGGTTTGGATCAACGACCTTCCTGTTCTCTCTATCCTCCCCCTCGTTATTGAAAATATTAGGCGTTGCCTTTCGGCCCCAGCTCAACAGCGAGGGAAGCACATACGCGCCATCCGGCCACTCCTGGCATCATGCGCAAGAAGCGCTCTCGACCCGGTTGACGAGGCATTCCATTCGGAGGCGATTAACCTTTTTGAGCAGCTAGGGGATTTGGACCCGCAGCTGAAGAAGGCGGTTTCTCCATTAATCAAGTTCTGCAGGGCTCCGAGCACCTCATCAGTGGCGAACGACTTCGAGGATTTATCAGGCGAGCTAGCCTCTTTAGAAGTCGAGGAGGACACCGATGATGGGAATTCTGAAGAGCAGAACATGTCTCCAGGACTGGGAACTATCCGAAACGAAGTCGACGACTCGGAGCAGGAAGCGGCGGCGTCATCTTCCTCAGACCAGGTTCCGTCGTCGACGGGGAGTCCACCAACATCCCGGTTCTCCCATCCAAGAAGGGCCTCCACGGACTACACGAGGGACGAAGAGACCCGCATTCAAGTCACTTGTCTTATCGCGAAACGAGTAGTGGACATTCTCCATGCAATCGGAGTTCCTTGTGCCTTGTTTGGGAGTTTGGCGAGCTATTTGTACGGAAATAGGCGCGCGCCAAACGTGTGTCCCTTGGTTGCTTCCCTTCATATTCATCTACTGATCAACCGACGTCCTCGACTACAGGACATTGATATCCTCGTGTTCCTTCCCACGCAATGGGTCATGGACGCAGAGTCTCTAAAGGCCACGATCCAGAGCTTCGATCCCGTTCATTTCAGCCTCGAAACACCGAGAGACCCGGATGCGACCTTCCGCGTTCTCTACTTCAAGGTCGACTCTGGCCTCGCGCCTTCCCGCACCTTCATAAAGGACAGATGTAAAATCGATGTACTCCTTCCCGGAGTGATGCACCTCCCGTCATTGACTCCATCGATGATCAAGGAACAAGGGGCGCTGCCAGTGGTTCCATTCTCCGTCCAGCTTCTCCAAAAGCTGCAGGGATGGGATGACCACAGAAGGATGGTCGACGAGCCGCATAAATACCAGAAACACCTGGTAGATGCGGCAGATGTCCTTGAATTGCTGCGGTTGGAGCATGTTGTCCCCATGAGGTTTGCTAAACCATGGCTCGATCGCAATTTGTTCTCTCAGGAGTTTATGAAGCTCACTCTGGGGCGAGTGAAGGATTTCTGCGACGTTCATCCGACGAGCAGAGAGGAGTGGAAGAGAATTGGGTTTTAGAACGAAAATTTGTTGTATTTTTGCTCTCGTACTTTACTACATCTGCCAGAATTTCCAGGTACTTGGCATCTGACTCTTCAGACGCATTGCATCACGAGGGATACAAATCTATTTATAAATTGAAGTTATATTATAAGTTCTATCTCTCAACTATCTCTGATTAGAATTGTGATGTTAAATCCGTTCAACTTGCACTTTGGTCATCATCTGGCCAGCACCTGACGGTCCTGACCCTCACTAGACTCCAGTGATAAAATGAGTGCTGAGCCAATGCTGAGCGCTCAGCAGTGAGCACGACCTACGCCGGTGGGCGACGTAGTCCCCTGCTTTCTTCGATGCTGTGTTCTTTGGCAAAAGGTGACAAATGTCGATGCGCGGCTAAGATTGCCGACTCATCAGTAAATAACCATAACAGGATACATTTGATAACGTTTTGTCATCTCAGCTGACGAAACTCGGTTGGGCCTAACCTTCGGTACCATTTGTAGGCGCATTACCGCGCACTACGTCCATGACTTTGCTCTTTCAATCGGCGTATGCCTGCCATAAAATACCGACGGTGATATGGTGAGCGCCATCCACCTCCTGCATTCCCATCGATACCCCTCTCATGCCCGAGCCAATATCATCCAGCTCGTCCTCAGTTTCTACGATGGAGGAGAAGCCATGGCGGTTCTCTGACAAGACGATGGAGGTTGCAGCCGCACGATCCATATACCTCAAGATATTTATGGGCGGGGCTTTCATGACCATACTCACCATCTTCGCGGTCTTCTCGATCTTCTGGGGCTCCTTATGGAAGATCCCTGCCCATAATCTTCACGGTTGGGTTGTTGTATGTGAACTTATTCATTCACGAGACATGGAGCCTACTCACTTTGAGGCCGATGCCTGATAGGACTTTGACGAAGGTACAATTGGGCAAGGTGTGGCCCAGGCATTGGCCTCACAACCCGCCGGCTCGAGAATTACATGGACAGTCGTTCCAGCATCACAGTTTCTTAATGGACCTTCCGAAGTTGGGCGAGATGTGCTGGAGGAACATACATGGGTCGCGGTGACAAGTGCGTTCCCAAATTCATGCATCCCATCTCGCACCCGAGTCTAATACTTCTCCACAGTTAATCCCGGCACTACCGCCCGCCTAACCGCTTCTATTTCCTCCCCTAACTCCTCTTACGACGGAACTGAAGCAATCACTATATATGCAACTGAAGCCAGGAATGAGAACGCTTTGTGAGTATCAGATCCATGTAACCGACGTCTTTGTCTAACAATATAGCATCTCAGCCGGAGTCTGATTCGCCCCTCCGTGAGTTTCCTGTGATATTTCTTCCTGCCAGAAAATAATAACCATACCCGCAGGTGCAAGCTACCCTAGAGGCCATCTCCAGGGCCATCGCCATTCAAACTGCCGAACGTGTAGCCACGGCCCAGAATCTAGGTCAACTGTTGACAACTTCCCCGCAGACGGTGACAGCACCGGTTGGGTATCGCATTCAGAACATGGCGCCTTTCGATCAGCCTGTGTACGTCCGTTTCTTATTATGCTATAGATGTGGTATTGATGATACTTCAGTGCGTCTGCGGTAACCTTTGTTGGACTGCTTTACCAGTTGATTTTGTCGTTCTTTATTGTGGTAAGTGTTTTTGTCTAGCGATGAATTCTCCCTTCTTACACGACCACCTAGATGATCGGCCTCAGCGCACGAGAAGTTTCAGGTCTTGAGAAATCTCTTTCTACCTGGTCGCTCATCAAGCTCCGCCTTGTTTCGTCGTTCGCTGCCTACTTCATCATGGCGGTGAGCCTCAATAAATAATATCAGCGATGATTGGTATCCTTACTTATGACGGTCCTTCAGCTATTCTACTCCCTGCTCAGTCTGGCATTCCAGCTCAATGTGAGCCGAAAGTATGTCTTCCTCCCCTTCCCTGCATACTTGTTGTCGGAACTGTACATTTCAGATTTGGGCATTCCGGATTCCTGATTTTCTGGATGCTCAATTATGCCGGAATGCTTGCTGTGTATGCCTCTCTCCTCTTTTCGTGTGATCTCTGAACTGACTCTTTTGACAGCGGCCTTGCTTTGGAGTCCCTGTCGACCCTCCTCACCACGCGTGGTATTCCGTTCTTCATGCTGACATGGATAATCAGTAAGTTTTGCTCTCAATTTATGTCGAGAAGCCTTTCACTCATTCTGTACGCAGCGAACGTATCCGTATGCGTCTTCCCGATTGAGGTCATGCCAAATATTTTCCGCTACGGCCACGCAGCACCTTTCTACAATGTTTCTCGTGCGATGCGGACTATCATATTCAGCACAAAGAATGTTGGTACGTAGTATTTTGAACTGTGCGTCCTGAGACCAATGCTGACTTTGCCCTGAAGTTGGGCAAACGTTTGGCATCCTAGCCGTTTGGATCGTCATATCTTGTATCACCCTTCCCCTCATCCAAATAGTTGTGCGCCGGCGGCAAGCTAAAACCGCCGCAAAACCGGAAGCCTCTGCGCAAGACATTGCACAACCGAACAACGAGAAAAACCCCGCATAGATATCCACCCCAACTTGCCTCAACTCTCCTCAGATTTATCACTACTCACATTTATGAAACGACTAACCGGGTCCTCCGATTCTCCACACGATATACAACCTACGAATATGACATTATCGAACTTCTAGTGTATTTTTATTGTAGACCACTCCTGTCCCCTACATAATTTAGTAGAGTTGCTTAGGCTCAACGAACGTCTCGGAATTCCCGGCCCGAGCCTCCAAACATGATGCATGTGCATGATCAGGCATCAGAAATTCGTCACTTTTTCAACTGTTGCCTTCAACTTCAACTTCTCTCGCTTCAACTCCTGCCAGAAATCAGCTCGTAAGGCATCCGTCGCAGCAAATATACAAACATTTCCAAGAGTACTAGCGCGTGCCTGGCATGGGCGTACGAAAATCCAGACCGCAAACATGGTACTTGGGTCTCGTTGGGCTGACGCAGCTTCCGATGTGCGCAGCAACGCCACCCTTGAAGAATTTTACGACGTGTGTTCTCTACATAATTTCTAGACTAAAGCTGAGGAGCGCTTCATCTCAAAATCTTGAAAACTTTAGAAGGTCGCTGCTGCATTTGTGGACTCGGATGACGACGACGACAAACGTTTTCAGGAACCCCAAGGCAGACCTCAAACCTGTCCCCACAGTCCCCCTATGGCATTAGGACTGCGACCAGACGAGATCGAATCTGAACTCATACCCCGGCTAGCCCAAGCTTATAACTAGGTCTGGCAGCACGGCGGATGACCTGTGTGTGCCTCAGGCTGCTCGCAAGGTAGCCCAAGACACATTTGACTGTTCTGCGTCATTCTTTTCCTTTTCTTCCGTCCTTATCCTCGCCGTCTTGTCTACACGTGCCATGACGGACACTCTCCGGACTATCGATTTCAAGAAACTCGGTACAACGACGACGCTTGTTGGATCTACTAGCTCTCAGTATAGCAACGATGCGGAAGATGTGCCGCCGCCTCCGCCTCCCAAGTGGTTCATGAAGAATTTCCTTGCGAAGGGCGACCCGGAGGTTTCGAGGGCGAGGAAGATCTACCTCAAGGCATATATCTCTGGTCTGGGGATGGTCATCATCACCATCTTCTGTGTTTTCTCGATCTATTGGGGCTCGTTGTGGAAGGTGCCCGAACATTCGTTGAGAGGAATCGTTGTGGTATGTGTCGCAACTTCGTTCGTTTAGTTCAGGAGGTTGAATTGGACTCTCTTTAGGATTTCGATGGGGGCGAGATTGGCCAAAGCGTCGTCCAATCACTTATTAATTCACCCCCACCGCAAGTAGTGCGTTGGCGAATGCGCTCCCCCCGCCGTTTTCCTCGTGGCCCGGTCGACGTCCAGAATTCTCTGAAGGAGAACGAAGCTTGGGCGGCCATCGTCAGTGCGTAGCCTTTACCCGGTGTCTCCTTCCTCGACATTCATCTTGGTCGCCAAACAGTCAATGATGGAGCCTCAGCGAACCTAGCAAACGCCCTCTTGTCTCCGAACGGATCTTATAATGGCTCAGAAGCCATTACCGCCTATGGTGTGGAGGCTCGCAACGAGAACGCTTAGTACGTTAGCAAACCTCTGTAATCTTACCTTGGGTTGACTGCGTCCTCTAGCCGCAATCTTATTCGACCTCTGGTATGCTTGCTGCTGTGCTTTTCTCCATGGTGTTTACTCTGGTTGCTTAGATTCAAACGGACCTCGATAGAGTCAAGCTTGACTTCGCTCTCCAACTAGCCGCTCGGGTCACTTCTTCCCCCGACTCGAACCTCACCTCGAACCTCACCTCTCTCCTCTCTACGTCACCACAAACGATTATCAACCCGATCTCGTATACTATCGTTAATCTCATACCATTCAATCAGCCCGTGTACGTGTTCTTGCTCCGGAATTTAATTTTGACTGACTCTCGTCTTCCCAGAGCAAGCGCCGTCGCTTTTGTCGGTCTTATTTATTGCTTGATTCTGTCGTTCTTTGTCGTTGTGCGTCTCTTTCTCCTTTCTTTCTTTCTGTATTCGAGACTCAACTGGACGTACAGATGGTCGCATACGGTGCTCGCCAAGCGTCGGGCGTAAACAGGATACTAGACCTCAAGTCCTTGATCATCCTCCGGCTTACGACGTCGTTCCTCGGCTATTTCTTTCTCTCGGTAGTTATTTCACTTGCGCTTTTTGGATTCAAGTTGACGTACCCCTGCAGCTTTTCTATTCTTTGCTCAGCCTTGCGTTCAAGCTGGACTTTACCCGCCGCTACGGGCACAGCGGCTTTTTCTTGTTCTGGATGCTCAACTATTTCGGCATGCTTTCTGTGTATGCCTCTTCCTTCTTATGCTCGAGCAGTTCATTGACCGTACCGTTACGTATAGTGGTCTCGCATTAGAATCTCTCATCACCATCTTCACGGCCACCTGGATTCCGTACTTCCAAATGTTGTGGATCATCGCCAACGTCTCGGTATGCGTCTTTCCGATTGAGATCCTTCCAGGCATTTTCCACTATGGCTACGCGACGCCTTTCTACAACCTCTCGATATCCATTCGCTCAATTGCATTTGGGACAAAGAATACACGTTCGTTATATTTCATCACAGCCTCTCCTCACTATGAAAACTAATACTCTGATTAGTCGGCCCCAGTTTCGGTATCTTGATCTTGTGGGTCGCTATATCATCTATGACGCTACCATTCTTGCAATGGTTTGTACGGAGGCGTCAGATCAAAGCTGCCGATAAGCAGATACCGGAAAAGCGGATTGGCTAGTCGAATCGACGGGGGACGGTAGTTCTCAGGGACTGGCAGGATGATTCGAGGAGCCGGAGGGACCTACACGTCGCCTAGTCAGCGCCACATGACTCCAATTTTTTAGGTGGAAGGTAACACCCTTTGACTTGTTGCTTGTAACACCTGGCTCCGACAATAACCAGTCTTATTTACAACACGGACGTATTTGTTATATCATTGGGCGTCAACACGATCAATAATCACTTTCTCTCTTCGTCTCAGACTAGTTTTCGCTTCAAGGCTCCGAAATCTGTGATTCAGGCAGCAGCAGATTTTTACTGCGACCTGTCCCATAACGTCAAATGAGTCGGAATGAGTGAGCTCAAGTCCGGATTACTTAGAATGAGTATCCATATATGGAAGTCGGTACTCACGAGCAGGAGACGGAGCCGCTCATCATCACAGGATATAACGACCAGAGACAAACCTCGACCTCCCCACCACCCCATCCCTCACTGTCGTTCAAATGGTGTGTATCTCATTTCTAGAAGGTCCTGAGGATGGTTTCTGGCAGTTTTCATGGCTATGGAGGGTGGATTTTGGATGGATGCGACTGGGCCGATTCAGATGATGATGGTCAACTTGCTGGGAGTAGCGCTGATAGGCCATTTTGCTCTCTCTAGGCCACCACAGAACTTGCCGCGACATACGCCGCCCTCATCCTCGCCGATGACGGTATTGAAATTACAGTGCGTTCAGACCCTACTGGACGACCTAAAACTGACCTTCGGATGTTCGAATATACAGTCCGACAAAATCATTGCTCTGACAAACGCTGCTGGCGTCGAGCTTGAGCCAATCTGGGCCTCCCTACTCGCCAAGGCTCTCGAGGGCAAGAACGTGAAGGAGCTGCTATCAAACGTCGGCTCGGGCGGAGGCGCACCCGCCGCTGGTGCACCTGCTGCTGCTGCCGGTGGTGCCGCTGCTGCAGAGGCGCCCAAAGAGGAGGAGAAGGAGGAGGAGAAGGAGGAGTCAGACGACGACATGGTATGTCGCCTTCCTCATATCCTTGGAGTGGTTCTGACAGCCGATTCTTGTGCAGGGCTTCGGTCTATTCGATTAAATATCGTCTTTCGTGTATATACATCCTGTCATGCTCGTCCCGCATACGCCAAAAATTTTCTTTCAAAATTCGACGTCAACCATCCTGGTCGCATGTCTCCAGGCGTGATGGTCTGCCAACCTCATTCTGCATTAGGTTGGGCTACAGGATTCCCTGATCCTGACCTGTTCGCAAAGCAGCTCTTACAATTATTGGCCTATGTAGATGAACGCGAAAACTACCCCATGTAAGATTTACAGTGATCCGGCGGTCCTTGGGACACTGTCACTCCTTGAGACAGTGGACTTTTTGAGCGCAATTCTCTTTCAAATCCTTAGATATTTGGCAGAGCTATGTATTATAATATCTTACAGATGCTGAATATTTTTATAAGGCAGAAGGGAAGAGGTTGTTGCTGGGTGAGAGAAATGGCGTATTTTGCAGCGATTGGGCAATTGATGGGCCTAGTCGTGCAAAATCAGGTTAACCTAAATTTTGCATAAATTCTGGACACATAAAGGCCATGTAGGAAGTAAATTACCACAGTTATCAGCCTGAATAGGGTCGTTTTTGAGGAGAAAGCGAGGAAACAACGAAAATTTGTCCAGAAAAGCCATCATTTTCACTTTCCCACACGCCAAATCATGCGGGCGAGGATTGAAATATTGATTTCCCATCAAAATCTGTCAGATTCTTGAATCACACTTTTTGGAGTGAGTTCTCTTTCGTTTCCCCCAAGATTTGGCCAAAATGTGCGCATAGGGGAGTAGAATATGGAAATATAATTTCTATTTTACAAAATGGACGTTGAGGTCCAAAAATCGGTAATCACCTTAGGGTGTCCCAAGGACCGCCGGATCACTGCAGCATGAACATCCGCTGGAACGTCATCAGCAAACATGCAACAAATAGGCATCAATACACGTCTCGTTTCTCACTACATCATCGTTAACCACGACCACCGAACACCAGCTCTCGGAAACAATGCTCCTTTAGCGAACTACCAAACCACTACTAGGCGTCTTGCTGAAAGAGAGCGTGAGGACATCCGAGAATGCTGTTATGCGTATCGTGTTGCCAACGGAAAGTTTTCTACAGTCGAATACCTCACGCTATGGCAGACGACTATAAGGCAGCGAAGGAGGCATTTGTGTCGGGAATGACAGGGTCGTCCATTGCCCACGTTAACTGCGTTTCTCTGATCGCGTTGGTGCGCATAAAACCATCCTCCTACGCGATTTTCAAAGCCTCACATTCTCCAGGAGTAGATTGGTGTTGCTCTTTACGCTGCCATACGCACCCGAATCGCACCGACACGGAACATCGGATTTCTGGCGTCATGGACAATTCTAGTATTGCCCATGTTGCTGAGCATGACGCTGTCTGCTATCCAACCAATCTACTTGAACCTCGTGCTGCTCGTACTGACAATCGGACTGCTACTTCTCCCAAGACCAGAGAGTGGCACGCCTCTTCCATCTCGCCAGCCAGCGTCACCTTTAGTGGAGACCAGGTTTCCACAGAATAGGATAGGAGGAGCGAGGATACCCGCACTTCCAGCATTGACGACATACAGAGCACATATGATGCTTATGACGGTGCTGGCAATTCTCGCGGTCGATTTTCCTGTGTTTCCAAGGTCATTGGCGAAGTGTGAGACATACGGGGTGTCCTTGGTGAGTTCCGGTCCCCTGACACGTGTTGAGCAGCTAATGTTGAATACGGTAGATGGATCTCGGTGTTGGCTCATTTGTCTTCTCCCAAGGCGTGGTGTCTGCGATACCACTCGTCAAGGACCCGTATTATCTAGGATCGCCTATCCTGCCGAAGTTGAAGTCCGTAACGATGAAGTGTTTGCCCATCATCGCGTTGGGATTGGTCAGGGTAATACTCGTGAAGGGTACGGAGTATCCAGTAAGTACTCAGGTCCGCCCAGGAACTTCGTATTAACCTCCGCCTTCGCTGTTAGGAACATGCCACAGAGTATGGCGTCCATTGGAACTTCTTCATCACCCTGGCCATTCTTCCAATCCTCCAGGTCGTTCTCCATCCCATATTCCGGCATGTTTCAATATCCATGACTGGCGTACTGGTCGCTCTCAGTGAGTAACCCATGAGTGGATTTGACACCTTTGATTTCAACACGCCGTAGTGCAGCAAACTAGCCTCTCCAAGTTCGGCATGAAAGACTACGTCCTCCTCGCCCCGCGAACTTCCTTAGTCAGCGCCAACAAAGAAGGCATCGTCTCCCTTACAGGTTACCTCGCAATCCAGCTACTCGGACTCTCAGTTGGCACGCTCGTCCTGCCGCCATCTCCCAACCTCTTCAGCCAGCGACAGAGAGCTCCGTCGAGCAACGATAACAAGGAGCGAAAAAGAAGAGACAGCAACACGTCAAGTAAGGAATTCGACCTATCAGCGCCGCGGCAGCTTGGAAAGACGGCTATTGAGCTGTGCGCCTACAGCATTGTGTGGTGGATGGCCCTTGGTGCTACGAAGTTCGTTGGCATTGGTGGAAACTGGGGCAAGGGAGGGGGTGGTGTGTCGAGGCAGATGGTATGTTGTTATCCATTGTTCTTGTTCCTCGTTCCGATGTGGTCGATACCCGCAGGTGAATCTTCCCTACATCCTCTGGGTAGTAGCCTTCAACACCTCCTTCCTGCTCTCATACATTGTCGTACTCGACATCGGGATCTTCGGCGAGTCAAAAGGGAAGAGTGCAAAGGCGAAGCACCGCCAGATAACTTCACCAAAGAAGGGCCAGCTTCGGGATCCCAAAGCAACTTCGCCTGGTAGCTCAGCGCCGCCTTTCTCTCCGTTCAGCCCCATCTCGCCGTCGACGTCGCCGGCGTATCTCTCTGTACCCTCGCCTTCCCTCAACCTCGCAGCTACTTCGATTGGTAACCCGCCTAAGCTGCTGGAAATGATAAATAAGCACGGATTGATCATCTTCCTCCTGGTACGTTATGTCCTAACTCGTTGGAGAGTTTTTACTTACGTCGTTCTAGGCCAACATTTTTACAGGTCTGATCAATCTTTCGGTCAAGACGATGTACGTCAAAGATGGATGGGCGATGGTGATCCTGAGCGGGTATTCTATCCTGGTGTGTGCAGTACCATGGTTTGCTGGCTCGTGGCTAGAGTTTGGAGCTTGGGCGAGAAGCAAGAGCTTGTAATTTGTTTTCTTCTCTAGCACCCACATTCTGAAACGGCGGGGCTAGGTTTTGATCTGTGCCACTCCTCTACCTCGTTTTCGAGGGGACAGGGCCGAAGATCGGCCTAGCACCAGCGTCTATGAAAACCGTAGAATCGGAAAATATATCACGAACGCCTGCTGCATACTTCATTGCGGTTTCTACTCTAAACAGCGGCGTCGTTGGATTCTACCGGCCAGCGCCACCGTCGTGCACTTCTTTCTTCTGCTCGGTATGTCTGCAAAGTCCTGAACTTCGTTGTATTCAAGCAATACACCTCGACCGAGGCCGACGCCACAGCACATGCATTTAATTCGGGTTTCTTTGTTTTTCAGAGACGTTGTCGTGTTTACTTCGCGCCTACATCTTCGGTATTCAAACGTTCAGACGTTCAGAACATAGTTGATGAACTTCGTTTTTTTTATCCTCGCTGTTGCGTAGGCATGCGACGTTTACGGCATTATATTTGCCATTCCTTCGTCAACTCCCGGTTTATTTTCCTTTCTTTTCTTTGTCGTATCCCCAAGGTCTTCCGCGCTACTCCTTTGCTCCTCGGTATTTCCCTCGAAAATAGGAGAGGCGTTCAATTGGTTCCAGTGATTGGCTGCTATTTATACTGACAACAATTCAACGGAGGCGACGGACTTGTAAAGCCGCCTGAAAGCCGCCGTTTGTTTCAGACCAATCGGAGCGTTGCCGCCTCCGTTTGTTTTTCTTATCAATCCGCAACTGTGACGAAAACTCTTCCCTTATTCTTCCAGAAAACAGTTCACAGCCTGCTATGGAATCCAGCTTCAGGATACAAACAAAAGTCTATGAATTTACAAAATGCAGAATCCATGACGACGACAAAGCGGAGCCCCCGCTCCTGATGAGGTCCGTGCCAGCACATGTCTCCGCGCTAAATGTGTAATTTTACGCGTGTTCCAGGCTGGTCGATCGTCCTGGTTGGACACGTTCTATCAGGTTTTTTGGGGAGCTCCGAAGTCGATGAACCTCTAGACCGCGCAGGCTACGAACAATCTTCGCGTGCAGTGGTACCCTTTTTCATTTTTCACGAGTCAAGCTCGGCGCCGTCAGGATGATATAATACTCTGCAAAAGCCGCCTTGGCCCGGTTGAAACTCCTTGTCCGCACCAACGACCTCGAGCTGGGCAGACATACAAGAACCCCGAGGCTGTTCAACGGAAAGGTAGAAAGACCCCTCTGCTCGCACTTGTGCTCACTGACAAACTCTCAACGACAGGTGTCTCACATTCAACAAATTTCACTGCGGCGTTTAGTGTCGTACCACCACACTCCTTCGTCGACATCTCAAACACCAACGATGACCTCCCCTCTTTCCATTACATCCATACCGCCCGAGGTCCTAGGGGAAATCTTCATCCACGCCTCCCTCAATGACGCCGACGCACCAATCGCCATTGGTTCCGTCTCGCGGACCTTTCATCGGACCGTTCGGACGACACCTCCGGCATGGACGAATCTGAAGCTGAAGATGCGGGAGTCCGACGACGATGGGCGGTGCGTTCGAAAGGCAGAGCTCTGGTTCGCAATGGCGGGCGCTTGTCTCGTCGATCTCTCCGTGCAAATGGAGATGGAAAGCGTAATGGAGGTTGCGCTTTCTCTGCACGCCATCGGGACCACCTCTGGGTCGACCTCGACCACACCGCTCAAAGAGAATCTCTCAGCAGGATGGTTGGGTAGCTCAGTCGTCCTCCTTCCAGACGTCCTTCACAACTACGCACAATGCATACGGGCTTTCTCGTTGCACACCACCAACGTTGCGGAGGCCCAAGTCTTCCTGTCTGCAATGTATTCCATGCCGTTGCTGCACGGCTCGATCCCCTCCTATCCGCTGCAAGAGCTCGAATTACGCACCTCCTCGGATGGCACTCGATCGCCTATGACGCCTCGCACACGCGGCCAAGCTACCTGCGTAACCCTTCCTCGACTGACGAACCTCGAACGGCTCAGCCTTGTCAATCACCCAGTCCCTTTGACATGTTTGGCAAATGTGGATAACGTCCGGAACTTGAGGCAGCTGAAGGTCGTCTGCCCACTTCGATTTGCCCCTATCCCCGTACGATCGTTAATGGGCGTATTGAAGGCTGCACACGGCCTGGAGACATTTGAATTGGACGCAAGGCTGACTGAAGAATTAATACCGCCAACCCCGAGCCAAGGCACCACTTCCTTCCCTCCAACGCCTTCGACGCCGAGCTTTGCCATCGCTCTCGGCACGCCAATATTAACGCCAACCTCAGCGACATCTCCCGCTTGGGGGCACCCATCCGACTCACACCACGATCTTATCACCCTCCCCTTCCTCGACTACCTCTCACTACGCGTCAATAACCTCCCAGCCCTCCTCAACCAACTCCTCCTTCCATCCTTGCGCACACTCAAAATCGAAGACCTCGATGGCAATCGCGCCGGCGGCGGTCAAGAGAGCGGCTTAATGCTCCGCCAGGTCTTTGTTCGCATGGAGCTACCGTGCGAGTACAAGTTGAACGAAGAGGATGAAGATCACCAACACCACCCGCCAAGATTCGTCCGCTCTTCAAGAGGGCTGGAAGTCCTCGAGATGACGAGCGTTCCTGTGTGCACCGCTGTCGAAGGCCGAGGCAGCTCAAGTCGGTCAAGTAGCCGGGATCGGGACGACGAGCGTCGTCCTCCCTCGGACGAGCGCGTCTGGGAGTGGTGTTTCAGACGCATGCGAACCCTGCGCGAGCTCTGCATCAGCAAGATGGATACCGGCGCAGTGCTTGGCCTTATTACCCAATCGTTGACGCCCCCGACGCCGGGCACCTCAAGTGAAGTAGGCCTCTCGGTGGCGGAGGATGCGGTGTTGCCGCGTTTAGAGAAGGTCAAGATCGGACACTGCACATCTTTCGTAGGACCTGCGTCGAGAGGGAGAAACGCGAACCCGGAAGGTGCGCTGGTCAAATTCCGCGTGAGGAGACCGGAGGTTGAGGTCGAGTGGAATGTGGTTGATAATCTGCGGATACGCAGTCGGCAGACGTCGGCCGCGCGTCCCGGTTACCTTGAGCTCTTGTAGACGTAGATACGAGGGTATCGGGATTTGGAATTTCGTAGCTAATTTATCCGCTCGTTCTGGTCATTTTAGTGCACCTTTCTACTTATGATGTCAAGTCACATAATTTTCATCATTATTCTCAAGCAAGATGACTACAAGGTAGTACAAGTACTCTTGTATACTCCTCGAAACTCCTGAGAAATGGGAACTTTCATTGGAGATCATTCTGCGGCGTAGCGCGGTGCGGGATCGTCTTGCCTTCTTGTTTTGGTGACTCGACTTCCTTTTTCAGACTGACTGTAGCTTCCACTCGCCGATTCTGGCATGTCGCAATTCCCAGTCTCGGCATTGACGTTGGAAGTATAGGATCTCTAGAGTTTCTAGGAAGATTTCGGAGCTCGTGACACTTCAGTTCTGCATCAGGCTCTGGAACTCAGAGCGATGTATAAGTATGTTGCGGGAGATGGGGGATCATGTCCCCGATTTCAGACATACTCTTCGATGTATGCTGTGGAATTCTGGAATCTGATTAATTTTTTTGACCAGCAACAGACTCAATGAAAACCCTTCCTTACTCGGCGCAGTGCGGCGAGACAGGCTGGCGATGGACCTTCTATAACCTTGCACGACCACAGCCATCAATGCAATAATCTCCTTTTGCGGTCGAGACGAACAAGCTCGTTATCGAGGATCGTGTAGGTCTTACCTCCCTCCAGAACCACCTTTCAACTACAGGACGATATCCCAAAAACATTTTCTACCAGTTGCGAAAACGCTCATTGTCCAGCCGTAACCAAGTAGAGCTCCTTCCCTCCTTCCCTCTTTATGAAGATACGAAGGAGGGACATCCTTTTACCCTTTGTTGGCAGTACGCGCTCTGAGGAATTATTTAGCGGAACAATGAAGCATCTGTTTCAGAAAGCAGCCCGTGCAACCGTGCTAGAGCCCGATCAATTTGAGGTAAGGCCATGGGGCGACGTCAGAAAATGGCTGAATATCTAAGAATGGGTTTTTAATTGTCCTTGCGACGTTAGTTGGAGACGAATCCGAGTATTCATATTATATTAGCTTCAATCACTCCAGGGTCAGCGTATCCGATGTCCTACTTCCTCAATGCCTTTGCTGCATTATACATAGTCAATCGCGATCGTCTTCGCCTTATCGAAGGCGGGGGCAGCCAAGGAATACTGTTCCAAGTTTAATCTGATTTCCTTGCAAAGATGATAGAACTGCCAGCTTAGAATTCAACACAAGATCAAATCCATGGTTGATGCATGAACTTCGGCGGCTCATTGTTCGTAATGCCTTATTTCAAAGCGACGCACGCAGACGACACTAAACCACTTGTTGAAGCTCGTCAACGAGCTCGTCAACAATATAGCGGGCAGGTGCTGTAAGTACCCGTTGGCCCCATTTCTCTTCCGGATGGGCCAAGGTCATCAGGCGGAAAGCTTCAGGTCAGGTGCCGATTGCGGGTGGTCAAGTGGCGCAACCTCCTTATTCGGCGATATGGTGCTTGGTGTCTGCTGCCAGAATTAACGTGTGATATCATCAAAGCGGGATACACGATGGGCCGCTACGACCAGTTCCCAGAAAGGAGAACCTAATTTTCGCCGGAGATGTGGCCATAGAGGATGGGAAATAAATAAATAGACCGTGGCAATCAACATGAAGAGGCTTCCTCAGCGAGGATCTAACACACCTCAATCCCCCGAGAAGCACCTTCCGACTGTGGGGGATGTTATACAAGTATAGTCCACCAGTCGCGAGAACCCTCGTCTCCCCGGACGCCGCTGTAACAAAGCAAAGCTCCGTCCACCCCTCCAACTTAATACGAAAACGGGAAGAAAAAGGTCCTCGCTGTACGCAGTGAGTACCATCAAACAGCGCTGTACTTCACACTTTGTGGGGAAGGCATGAAATGGGACAAGCAAACAGTTGAATATCGGGTGGAGAAGATGGCCGAGGACCGGCGTTCCTAGTGTTCTAATGCTATCTCATTGAAAATAATTTCTTCATCAGTGTCATGAGTCGTTAGTGACATATGCATACACCGTTCAACTCCAGCCGTTCCGGCGTCCAGCTAGCCAACGCGACAGCTCCTCAACACGTCGCCTACGTAGTCGGCCATGATCCTCATGGTTTCCTTCGAGGGATGGCCAGGTATCCAATAGAAATAGTGCTCTGGGTCATCGCACATCCCTTCGGTCGTGCACCCATTCGCGTTGCACAAGGTGCACGAGTCCGTACTCGTGTAGCCGAACGCTTCGTATCCAGGTGAACCTAGTACACCTTCCCAGATCGTGGAGAAATCTACGTAGGCGACATTGAGTTTCGGTATTCGACCGTGTTGTTGGGTGGTGCTAGAGTTGAAGGTGCCGAGGTGTAACGTCTCGAGCCCGTGGAAGACAGTCTGCTTAAAGGACTCGCCTTGAGGCGCAACGGTGCCACGCCCGTACACATCAAGGACCATGATATTACGTGCATTCGTGGGTGGGCTTGCTAGAATAGCGATTTGGTCAAGCAGTGTCTGCGCGGCAGCCGGCATATGGTCGCCATCATCTACGCATTTTGAGCCATGTCGGTGCGATGGTGACGGAAAGGACTTACTCAGGGACGCAAGGTAATCGCTGGAAGGGTACTAATCTGAACGAACAGGACACGCAACGAGCGGAGAGACAGACTTACTTGATCCCGAAGAAAATGGCATAGAGTGTCGTGTTAGGATCCAAAGTGTTCTTCTGAGCAAGAAAGGTTTTCACTGATGAGGAAGCTCACTTTACTAGTCGCTTTGTTAGCCAAAGCTAGATACGTACTCTGGCCCAGAAAATCGACCTTTCTTGGGTTGCTCGGCCACAACGAAAGATCGATGCAAGCGCCGGATTGCTGCAAAGAAACCCGCTCAGTCTCAGCCTACAATCAGGCGTAAATGGGAAGGTCTACCGCGTAGTCCATCAAGCGCGCTCCAAGATCATTCGCGACATTCTCCACCCAGACCAACCCATTGGTCGACCGCCCTCCTGCCAACGGGCTGGGAGGAACAATGACGGCTGGGTCAAGAGGCGAGCCATCTGACTTCCCACCGTCAGTGTAGCTGTCCTATACAGACAAAATACGAAATGAAACGGTCGTACTTCAATGTGCAAGAGAAATAAAGCTTACTCCAAATGCGACGACGATCTTGAAGCGCTCTGGTATCAGGCCTGCATTAACGTCCGCGGTACTGCCGGAGAGTGACCCGCAACGTGGTTCGACGGCGAGGTGGATCCCATCATTCCTGGGGTCTTCGGCCCTCGGAGTCAGGAAAGCGGAGGAGACAGCAGTAACGAAAGTAAGCAAGGGGACCAGACTCTTATGGAGTAGCATTTCTTTGCCAGAGAGGACTCGATCGCATACAGGAGTTCATGCTGGCTGGGCTTTATAGGCAAGAGTAGCTAAGTGTTGACCAGGAGTATAATTGGAAGGGCAATAGTACGTTTCGTACGTCCAGGTGCTCGATGGTGAAAGACAGCCCCAGGCGGCTTCATATGAACTTGCGCTGTACGTTGCACCATCGTAGGAAGACGCAAATAGACTGCTTGAAGCGAACCAGAAGCTATAGCATCGCATGGACATTGTGCAGAATTCGTACGCAGAGCAGAGTCGCCAGAGGCAGACCCACGAGGTACACTGTGAAGGAAGAGGGGAAGGGGCATCTTTCCCGTACGCAGTGGGAACAGTTTGAGGGATGTGAGCGGAGTCGTTCTCGCTCTTGTCCAGCAGAAGTCGCCGGACGGCGGTCATGTGGACAGGGCGTATCGTTTGATTAAAAGTCTTCTTTAGGAGGCAAACGGCTCCATATTTACCCCAGACTCTATTTGCGGGATGGACTACGCAGAATGAGAGAAAATCGAAAGCCGTTCGTCTATTATTGGCTCAACGAAGGAGCTTTCCTCGGTCTCGATGCGTGAAGCTCGAGAACGACGTGAAAAGGAGGCAACCAGTCAGAATCACGATTCACCTTCGTCTCTTCTTGTCGAAGGCTTTGATCAGAGTTGGGACGCGTTGGGAAGAGTCAATTGGCATGAGGTCTTGCGCATCCTGGGGTTCCTGCTTGACCATACAGTTCGAGCTATGGAACAGCGGGAAAGGGATAATGTCGTCCTCTTCCTTCTTCACCGCGCATTCTGCATTGAAGGAAGAGACAGGAGAGGTTTCATGGTCTTCTTGCTTGATAGCTGTTTCAGCATCAGCGACACCGTGCGAGCTTGGGGAAACAACCTCCATCTTCACGACTATTGGACACGAAACGGTCTTTGCCTTATCTCCGTCTTCCGAGGCAGAATCCGTCTCAAAGTCGTCCTGGTCGTCGGCATGCTCGACTTGGCCATCTGCTACAGCTCCACGACGACCAGTAGGAAGCTTGATGGATTCCCCTCGACAGAACCGAACAAATTTCGAGGTGTACACCTCGAGCTCAGGTGAGAGCCGTACTACTCGCTCCAAGTGACCACATAACTCGCGATGAAAGTTGTCGTCAACGTGTACAAGGTTCCTTCTAGCGAGGTCCCGTAGGATATTCCTGAGTCGGTTGCGACGTGACTTTAGCAGCTGAGATTGGATACCCTCGATGAGGTCAAAAACGACTGCAAGGACTGGTGGGAGAGGGAGTTCCATGGGAATCCAACGAGACTGCTGTCGCATGATTCGGTGGGGCTGGTAGTGGATGGGAGGAGAGGGAGAAGACGAACTCGACAGCGTCTCCGTCCCTTCGGGCGTTCGAAAAAGGGGTCGGACTCGTCGTACGTGACGCGTGAGCATCCATGCTCCCGTGTGTTTGAAGCAGGTTGATTGTTCCAGGATGATCTTCATGGTACTTGCTTCCTCGAGAACGGTTGTGGACATTATCACTATTTCAACGTACTATAAATCCGTAAGTATTTGAAAATAGTGTACCATGGGTACCCATTGCCCAAAAGACTCACTTTGGGGATCAAATTGATATCGTAGTGCATTGCAGCGGTCTCCCCGAACAGAATGCAGGTAATACCTGTTGCTTCAAGTGCTCCAACCATATATTCGAATACTTGGTTGATCCGCTCCTGTTTTTCTCTTTGGTAACGCATAGCGAGAATATGTAGACGATATGTGGCGGAGATGCAGAATGTAGAGGAAGTCTTTCTAGGTCTTTCTGCCACGAAAATCAAGTGGTGGGGACTTGAACGCGGCATGTCACGGTCGCGTGCCATGTCACATAGTATTGACGCGTCAACAAGGAATTCTTCTGTCCAGCTTGTCGGTGAACACACGTCGAAAAGGAAATATTCCATGACTATCGAATTCCCCTCGTCTTTTTCGGGGACATTACGCGAAAATATTAAATCTCCGGTTCACGTTAGAGGGGGATCAATCACTAGGAACGAGGACAAGGTGTCAGAAGCGGTTCATAGAGTCCCTGCCCATTTACCGTTTCTCGAATGCATTCCGACCCCCTTAGGTATTACATGACAAAAACTACGTGATTGCTGAGCGAATCTATTCCCGACAAGACTTCTCCCTCAATAACAACAATCTAACGCAAGGAATTCATAGATTCTTACTTCAGTCATGGCCGTGAAAGAGCTGATACTCTATGATAATACACTATGGTAGCTGACGCACTCCGAGACGCGGTCGACGCGTTTACATTCGCTGGTATTCCTTGTGCGTTGACTATATCTTTGAGCCTGTAAGCCGCTTGAAGGGCTCCAGGAAGTCGAAATTATTGCCATACCTGGCGATCTTTTCGAGGAACGCCCCACAAAAATAATTCGTCCTGCTTTCAATGCGCCAGCAAATGGGCATTCAGATTCTTTGAACGACCATCCTGCGCCACCAGAAGGATTGGTGCGACGCTCGCCTCATACCTATCAGCGATCCACGTCCTGTCCAATACTAGGAGGGCCACCGAATGTCTGCATCGAATGTCACTCTGTGCTGCTTGATTTCCCCGTGCCATTGCACCGATCTTTGGCACTGGTGTTCAGTATAATAAAGGACATTCAAGGCCATCTGATCAAGTCAAAGTGCAACCGCACTTGGAGGACTTATCGATTCAGAAGAAGTATATCAGGACATGGAAGCACGATTCCCATTCTGGAAGAGGCGTTTCCAAAATAGATGCCCCCAAAAAAAAGGTTGCCCCCAACAGAAATTTGCAGGAAGGTTAACGCACGAACCCTTCTCTCCTCCCACCACTACCGACCCCATTTTCCCTGCTCTTATAGATGATTTAACTGCCACTCCAAGGGAGTACGAACGGCCCATTACTCACAAAACTGGACGGAAAGTGGGAGAACAGGTCTGTCCCTATTTAGATATTCAGTGGTGAATTCACCGAAGATTTACTCCTTCAAAAATGCTCGGCCCGATAGGAAATATTCGTATCGGGAACGTTTACAAGCGCCATCTTGTCTCGCTCCTATAGTGTTCTCGCCGCAGGTCCTTAATTTACTCCACTCCAATGTCGGAGCCAGTATTCATGGTCTGTTCGGTTCATTGCTTCTGGGAGTAGCGGGAAGGCTAACTTGATACATATGCAATTTTAAATTCAGGTCTCGCTTCGGCGTTGGTCAGGTGCAGACGCACCCCGGAAACTACTAGTGAAGGCAAATAGTAAGGAATGTAAGAAAACGATTTCTCTGGGGAACTCATCGCTAGTCACTACCGGTTCTCCTCGGCCTCTGTGCATTACCACAATAATGGTGAAGGTAGGATCACCTTCCTGTAACAGTTTTAGGGCCTCGTGAACTCATCCGCTTCGGACAGATGCAGGCACACCTTTCTCGTGCTCATCGTCCTGAAAATGGCAGCTATGAGACATTCAGTACGCCTTCTACTTATGACCAACTTGGATAATGATGTTCATTGCAATCAATTAAGAAACGCCGGTTTCTCTTTTGACGACGCGACGCGACGCGTCTTAATGAGGCACATGACGCCAAGCTAGCCGAGTTATCGATTGCGGTGTGAGCGTGTCGTCACAACCCTTTAGGAGGCGACATTAATATTAGACATGCTGCCAACGGTCGCCCAGCCTTGTGCCCTCTCGAATTAGGACCCCACCTGTGAGTGCACGTTCTCTCCCACATTCCTTCTTCTTCGATGCCTTCTCAACACGGAGCTAAACTTTGGATACAGAAAGAGACCAAACGACTTGCTAGGATGTCTGCGGAGATCGTCAAAGGTGCCATCGTGCGCGATGTGCAGCCTCTCCAGACCCCTCCGCTAGCGGACAGTCCCATTAAGACCGACACGACGATCCCAGACCTCCTCATCAAAGGCACGATGATGACGAAGGTCTCCGAGAAAGGGAAGAAAAGGGTCACCTTTCGAATCGATCCAGACGAGGGACAGATCCTCTACAAGTCGAGCAAGGCGGGTCTCGGTGCGTTTCGTATTTATCTCAATTCATGCGCTGATGCACCTTCAAGTCCCCATCGAGGCTATCAAGGAGCTGAGGACGGGCAGCAACACGCGATACTATCGACAGCAGTTCAAGTATCCCGAGGAATACGAAGAGCGGTGGATCACCGTCATTTACATCCTCGACGGGACTTACAAAACTCTCCATATCGTCGCGGACACACGCGACATATTCCACCTCTGGGACACCGCACTCCATAAACTGTACGCCGTCCGCCAAGGACTCAAGACCGGCCTGGGCAACGTCGAGCTACGTCAAAACGTTTTCGAGAGACAATACTGGAAGGGCGCGGATAAGACGGGAGATCAGGTTCTCGATTACGGCGACATCGAAAGGCTATGCATGCGTCTGAACGTGAACTTGACCCCGGCTGAGCTCCAGAGGCAATTCAAGGTCTAGTGACCGTTTTGCTTGAGGGTATAGTGCTTATGTTTGACCAGGAAGCGGACACCACCAACAAGGGTCATTTGGACTATACTCAATTCCAGACGTTCGTGCGAGTTCTCAAAAGACGTTCTGACCTAGAAGAAATCTATGCGAAACTCGCCACCGAAAACGGCGGCCAGCTCGACCTTGCTGGATTCACGGGTTTTATGAAAGGAACACAGAAGGTTTTTTCTGCTCTCTTTACTCTCAGGACCGATTCTGACTTCTCGCAGTCGAAGCTTTCTGATGACCAAATGAAAGAGGTGTTCGCCAAGTACACAAAAGCACAATCGGAAAGTCCGAATGACCCTGTGGGCGTCATGAGCGTCGAAGGTTTCACCTCCTTCCTGTTCTCACCAGAAAACTCGGCGTTCTCTGAACAAGATAAGCCGGTCTGGCAGGACATGACAGCTCCGATTTCCGATTATTATATCTCGTCATCTCACAACACCTATCTCGTGGGCCATCAGCTCGTTGGCGTTAGCACGATCGAGGGCTACATTCGCGCGCTGCTTCATAGCTGTCGCAGCGTCGAACGTAAGTGCCATGAGAATCCTTGGACGCAGATTCTGACAATCGTTTCAGTGGATATCTATGACGGAGACGAAGAACCTACGATTTACCATGGGAAGACGTTGACCTCCAAAGTGTCCTTGCGCGACGTTTGCCAGGCCATCTCTAAATACGCCTTCGTCACGTCTCCGTACCCCCTGCTTATCTCGGCAGAAGTACACTGTGGGATAGCCCAGCAAGACAAGATCGTGGACATTATGGCGGAGGTGTTCGGCGACGCCCTTGTCCAAGCGCCTGTAGAAGGCCGTCCTAAGATTGAACAATTGCCAAGCCCAGAGCACCTGAAGGGTAAATTTTTGCTCAAGGTTTGTCACTTTAGTAGAGCTTCTAGCGTCTCACTTACATCCTGCAGGCAAAAAATCTCTACGTCGTCGAGCAGCTAGCTGCCGTGCAAGCTGCGCGCCTCGCTGATAAGGCCGCGACCCAGCGAGCGGTCGAGATTGAGGCCGACACCCCTTCATCCGAGTCCTCCGACAACGAAGCAGAAGCGTTGCTGAAAGAAGGCCTCAGCGATCTGAAGAACAAGTGGAAGAGGATCCGCGGGAAAAGTGGTGACGCATCAAAGGATCCCGCGAAGCACAAAACGAAGATGTCCTTCCGCCTCGCGTCCCTTCTTGTGTACACTGTGGGCGTCAAATGCCACGGCCTTGATGCAGAAGTCGAGTACGCGCCAGAGCACATCTTCTCGCTGTCCGAGAACACGGCCAATAGGCTGCTCAAGGCAAGTATGACGGACTTGGTGAAGCACAACCACACGCACCTCGTTCGAGTTTACCCCAAGGGCACACGCGTGAATTCGACGAACTTCGAGCCACACAGGTATTGGGCGGCTGGCTGCCAGGTTGTCGCTATCAATTGGCAGACATTTGGTGCACCATTTCACGGTCCGGAAAGTAAAGTTTTAAAGTGCTTACCATTATTTCTTTCATGGATCGTAGATCTTGGATATACGATAAACCAGGCGATGTTCCAGCGCAATGGACGCGCTGGATTTGTTTTGAAGCCGGATGCCCTTCGCCATCCGGAGAAAGACTTGCTATCCAAACGCACGCAGCACTTTTTGGACATCACGGTACGATTTCATAGATTTTTTTTTTCATGACTCTTGGTTGATGTGGCGTGCTCTAGATCATATCCGCCCAGCAATTGCCTCGTCTGCGTGATTCGAAAGGACAGGAAATTATCGAGAAATCAATTGTCGATCCGTTTGTCGAGGTTTCGTTGCATATTCCAGACTGGACTCACTCGCCATTCCTTCCCGATTCTGCGACAGCAGCAGGCGCGAAGTACTCGCCATCGACGAACGCGACGACCACGAGCGTCTCGTCGGCGCGAACCGTGTCTTTGCGCACGAGCGTGATCAAAGACAATGGTTTTAACCCGGTCTGGCAGCAGGAACTTTGCATTCCATTCGATTGCGTCGGGGATATGATGGATGTCATTTTCGTAGAATTTGCCGTGCGTCAGAATGGGAAGGACGATGACGATGACGAACCTATTGGCGCATACTGTATTCCGTTAGGGTGCTTGGAACAAGGTGAGCAAGGAATCATCCTTGGACCCCACTTCATTGCATGTCCGATATACGCCCGCGTACTGATATTCTATCATTTTAGGTTATCGTCATCTCCCTCTTCACGATGCTCAACTTTCGCAGCACCTTTTCTCCACCCTCTTCGTGCGCGTCAGTATCAGGAACATCAGTTAGACCTAGGCCGCGGACTTTAATTCATCATCGCCCTGTGGGCGTTCGAATATGCGTAAATGCAATGTATTCTCATAAGTAAGCACATGACTATAGCACACATCTCTGGCCGGAATTGCAACCCCATTCACCTGTTGAGTTCTGTGATTTCGATCTTTTCAGGGAACGGAAAAACACTTTTATTCGGCATGCGTCATTCGCATGCCATTGTATTCTGAACACCGTTTGCGAGGCCAGACAATAAAGGATAGCTGAAGGAGAAGACCTCAATGACCTTCTTGGGGTACGCGGAGATAGTTCTTCGACGATTCGGTGCTGTGATTTTGCTTCCGTTCCGGCTCCCCAGGCTCCAGCTCAATTATCTCTCCAATCGCTTGCCGTTTCAGGAGTACTTTCGCCTAAACATCCGAATGGATCCGCCTCATGTTCTAAGCATCCCACACACCCAAGACCATGTGCCTGTGCTTGATGCACTATCTTATTGCGTGCGAAATGAGGACTCAAAGATTTTGGTCCGAGGGTCTGTTCCTTCAGGACTCCTGTACTCGAGCTGGCTATTTTCAGCGATTCTCGAGCCTCAGTTGGGTACCATTTAACCTTCCCCCCCTTGGACGATGTCAATGACACAACTCAACGGTAGATTTTTGATATGATAGGAGCCTCGGTCGTCGCCGTCAGACAACATGTCAAATCTCGACAGGTATTTGCCGGTGACACTAGCCCCGAAGAGGTAACAGCAAAGGTTACGTACCAAACTCAAAAGGATCAGGGTCCTTTATTGAGTTTGCCACTTTGCTCCTCCTCGCTTTTCCTCCCTCCTGGATGGTTGCATTCTCTTGATCAACCACCATCTGCTGTCACCTTCCCCTTTTTCGCTGCCCTCGACCATCGAGTACGGCTTACAGCATATTTTCGGACTGCATCTCTAGCTTACGGAGACATCACGGCACCGGCGGACGTCCACCTTCATCTCGGGTAGGGTTTCTGGAAGAGCGGGTGTGGGTTTGGCTCACTGGGTATCATCCAGGCTGCACAATGACGACATGCACATCAATTCCGTACAGCCCCACCGACCAGAATTCGAACGGCGTCCCTCACGGGGGTCTGCATCGTGAGGCGCTTCTATATGCTGCCCAGACGCTGTCCCCGCATCGCCCAGGTTCGGTACGTGTTCCTTGTACGGCTGTTAAGCGGTCGGCGAGGGACTGAGGAAATGGATGCAGGTCCAGGAGGGCTACATTGGCGATATTGTTCCCTCTCAGAGCTCGAAGGATAGCCATGGAACTCATCGGTTTGAAGAGCTCTGGACGAGCACTTCGACATGGCCTTCAATTCCTCGCCCTTCAACGCCCAACGGAAGTGCTTCACACGTCGCCGCGGACGCGAACTCCAGCATTTCAACGCCAACTTCCAACCTCTACGATCAGCACCCGCATTCATGGCATAACGCCCAGCGCCTCGCTCAAGGCAATCAGCCAATCGTATGTGATGTGAGTTATATAATCATAAATGTATGAACTATCGATTTGCTGAAGCAACCATCAATCGTGTAGATCTCTCCAACGCCTTCCACGAACTCGCCGACTGTCGGGGCAACCTACAAGAATCGGGAAGCGCCTCCTCGTCCGTTTTGGCCAGCAGCCGTAGGTGTTTTTTCCCTTTCATGTGTCGCTTTCCCAAAACAGTCTAATATCATTCATCTCGTTTTGCTGTTTGCTGTGCTACAGCATCAGCCCATTCTTCCAGAGCAACGATCCCCGTACTCCGAACTAGCCGTAAATCTCGCATTTTTGGAGAAACTCAAAGAGGAGGAAAAGGCTCGCGCGCTTGCCGCTTCAATCGCGCTATCTACACCTCGCAACGCGCCTTCTCCCCCATCTGCCGACGTTACTGTCCTCCCACCACCAGCACTGTCCAATCGGATCGCACGACCACCTCCCGCTGACAAGAAGCATTCAGCGGAATCGCCAATCTTGTCGTCCGTCAGCTTTTCATCGAGGAGCATCACGGTTGCCGGGCCTTCTCCCATTACAGAATCTGCCAATGGCGAACGATCTGCAGTCCCTTTTGGCTCTAACTCAGGCACCAGTGCTACATGGAACGTGAGCACTGGCATTGACAGCGTAAATGGGACTGGTGGCCTTCGGAACGTGAAGGAGCCGCGTAAGCCCAGCCTCGCCTGTACGTTTTGTAGGGAACGTAAAATCGCGTGTGGGCGTCCCCCCAGCAACAGTCTGGATCCAACTTGCAAGTTCGTACTATTTCGTTCCATCTCCCACTCTTGGCTAATCTAATTTCTGCTTGCAGTCAATGTGCACGCCGTTCATTCAAATGTGAATATAAGGAACGCATAAAGTCGACTTCGACCGCCAGAAAGACTCGAAAGTAGGCTCTTTCGCTTTCGCTCTTCCTTTGCTCTGCTTCAGTATTATTTCCATCTTTCCCTTTTATTCTTGGATACCGTACATTATCTTCGCTTTCGTCGTTGTGCACTGCTTTCCCCGTCTCTCTGGAACCTGCTTTGATTATGCTTTGTTAATTACTTGTACCGACGTAATTGTACAACCTTCACCTACTAACCACCATTATGTTAAATTGTAAATGCCACCATAGTTCGAGGCTTCTACACTAGTATGTTCTGCGAATTGTTGATTACTTTATAGTTGCATGTTGTACCATGGTGTTTGGAATGACGGCTCGTCTTGAACATCTGGGAGCGAATGTCTGAAAGCAGCAGAGGATCGTGATATTCGTGGAGATTAACGGTACGTTATAAGTGATAAATAAGAAAGCAAATGGCATGATGGGATGTAAGAACAATCAGCGAGGTTGAAAATTGCTCATGAGGGAATGATGACGTGTAGCAATGCAGTGTGATGAAAGGGAGAAAGAAGGAACAATCGCGTGGAGGCACTCATGAAATGGAACTAGCTACGGATTTGAGATTAAGACGGACAAAGAGCGTCGAGAAAAGATATTGAGAAAGTTGAGAATCATGCAAAGGGAGATGGCGATAGCCTGTATTGCATACCAAAGGTCTCAGCGTCATGTCTCCGTGCAAGGGAAAATCATAAACCAACTAACCAGATTGTAAACTTCCCAACGATGCACAATAGACAGCAAGAGGCTCGTCTCCTTCCTTGTCCTCCTGGCGAACGACGAAGCGCACAAATACAAGGTCCATCATATCGCCAACAACGTCGAATGGAATAGCGAGCTTCTCTTCCCATACGGGGTTGAATCCGTTCCGCCTGACAACTGAGGTCCGTGAGGAAACAGCACGAGGTGGCGTGGAAGCTGGGCCGGAATTGCTCAGTCCCAAAGGTGTTAAAGTGAGTGGTGTCGAAGGAGTTGGAGAAAGGAATCCTTTATTGTCGACAGATGGGGATTGAGCAATATCAGTCGAGTCTTCCCTTCTCTCGCCTCTTTCTCGCGACTTATCTCTTCCCCTGCTCCTTGAAATCGACCGGCTTTTCTTCACGCTAGCTGCGGGCCTTTCGCCTAGAATTGGCCAATCGGGAATATAAACTGTCACCTCGACGTACGGATCCACAATCGCGCGATCAGCAACCTCGCGGCCAGACGCATCGCGGGGCAGAGGGAGCTGCTGTGCGGAGATAATTGTCGCCTCGAGGTTGTACATTGTACGCTTGGCAAGAAGGTCCTTTTGCGCGAGGCGGATCGCCATGGGCTTGAGGACATAGCCTGACCGCCCGTTTCGTTGAAACATGGCGTGGTTGATCATGAAGCCCAGGTCTGCCGAACAAGGATTAATTCACGACCCGCAAAACTTGGAGAGAAAAAAAAGGCTTACCAAAAGTTTGCCAATTAATTGCCACCAATTGGGCACCGGCTGCCCAGAAACGATGAGGCTCGTAATTTGTTGAGCTCAGCCTGGTGCCCTTCGGGTAGGTCCTCACCAAATGCCCCTTCGTGTGCTTGATCAAATCCCACATCCCATTCCCGAAACGGAGTGTCTTGTTCAACACATTCTCTGATAGAGAAAACACATGCTCTGGCGCATACTCTTCCTTTTTGTTGAGTCCACGGCACTTGACACCAACGGTATATACGAGGAGGGCCACCAGGGCCATGGACATCTTCGGCTTGGGCCGAGGTGTGGACGTCATAGCTCGGGCCGGTGATAAGGGAGTAGGGATCGGAATGGGAATCGAGGTACCAGGGGTCGAAGCGAAGGTGAGGTTGCCTGGTCGGGGTCGGGTGTCTATCTCAAAGGTTGTCCGTTGGTTGGCATTGGGAACATTCTGGGTTGCTGGAGACGAAATTAGGACCGCAGAAGGCGGAGGCGAAAAAGGTAAGTTGGATTGAAGGGCTGGTGACGTTATCAATGGCGGCGACTGCGAAAGAGCAACACCAGGCAGCACCGTGTCAATCGCAGTCGGTGTCGGTGGTAGCGATGCGTTTGAGGACCTTGAGCCGGCACGTCCAACCCCCCGGACACGTTGGAGGATATTCGTACGGGCTTTCGATATTTGTTCTACAAATCAAAACGCCGGCTGAGCGTTATCGACGGAATAGCATAGACCGCAAAACGTACCTTTGACACTGGCGTCAGAGCTACTCCCTTTCTTCGTCTTGATTTTTGTGGGTGTCATGGGCGGTACTGCACTGTCGATGGAAGCGGCGATAGGTGAATCGACCTGGGGTAGCGGTGTCTGGGGCTGTTTCTTATAGTGTTGAACAAGGTCAAAGAACGCCTCCGAATCCGATGCGGATGATGAAGGGTCCGTAGCGTAACCACCGTCGCTGTCTCCGGAGTCGCTGTGGATGAGGTGGAGATTCTTAGCCTAAGGAGGGGCACGTAGTCAGAAGTTAGCTTTGAATTGATCTTCGAATACAACAAGATAGCGTACTTTCAGCAAAATCTTATACTTCAGTTCCTCAGGACTCGGTAAAATTTCAACCTTGTCAGGACTGTCGCCGGGGTTGATTCGTACGAGGGCCTCGCCGAACGTGCTGATCATGATGTTGGCGATCATGTCTTGCCCCGCCAGTCCACAGTGCACTTCCGCCGATATGATGATGGGGTAGGGAGATGCGACGAAGCCGTACTTCGCAATCGCCTCGCAAACCTCTTTAAGGGAGACTTTAGACGTAAAGGTCTTTCCATGGGTAATCATGGGCTCGGATTCTCCATCATATATGTCAACTGAAGAAAAAAAAAAAAAAGTCAAGACAAGTCCGAACACAGTTCGAGCGTCAAGGAAGACTCACCCTCAACGCTGCGACACCCAGCCAGCAACGCCCGGATATATCCCTCGACGGTGCTAACACCGACGAGTTGGTGTCCAACAAGGTAGGTATTGTGAGAGGAAGAGATGAAATACTCGGCTAGTGGACGTGTCATGTCATGCCAAACGCCGTGGTGCAGGTCTGCGAAAGCCGAATTGTCAGGCGAGAGAAGGAATGAAGTGAATGCCTGAAGGGTAAGGTGTGGCACGATGGTTGATGAAGGGGATGAATCGTCGGGTGGAGCTGACGAGGGCGAGGAAGATGAGGGCGCAGGGGCAGAGGTTCCCCAACCGTCTGCAACCAAGGGCTCGAGTGAACTACCAGTGTCGGACCTCGACAATGTAGGGTCTCCTAGCACAGCGTATTTATCGAACAAGTCCCTCAGTTCAGAAGGTTTCAATGTTGACTAGAGCAAGGTACTCAATATGCAGGCCAAGCGATCAATGCCGAAACACTTGCCTTTTGCTTTTCTCGCATGAACTTCTCGAAAACAGAGTAATCGAAAACGCCTCCGCTTGGAGCTCGAAGCTTCTTGTGCAGTCTATCGATCTCTGGACGAGCCTTAAGAAGCTTGACGAACCGCCGAAAGTCGTCGAAATCGAGGAAGCCGCGTTGTTGGGTGTCCGCTTGCTGCGGGGATAATCAGCACGAGTAAGAGCAGTCGAGAATGAGATATAAGCGGCTCAAGGCCTGCAGTATGGCACATAACGAGCAGAAAGGCAAGACAAACACGAGATGACGGAAGGAAGAACAGGACGAAAGAAAAAACGAACAAACCTTGAACAACCGTCCAAGGTCCTCCTTGCTCGACATGACGTTCAACCGGCGGCACAGCTTCTCCACCTCCTCGAGGGACAGTTTCTGGTCCTCTTCTTCATCGGCACCCTTCCAATACTGCTTCTCCCACAATTTCTCTCGCATTTCGCCGTTGCCTAGCCCTTTCATCAACTCTTGCCTAACAGCATGTAATTGTCGAAGGGTTCGGTCCCACAGTCGAAATACATCCCTTGTGGCGGCGATGAGATGCAGGGTCTTGTATGAGTTAGAGAGGAAGTAGATGATCGTAAGCCAGCGGTCTTCATAGTCAGAGGAAAGTTGGAACTGCTGGCGATAGTATCGTGCATCTTCGCCTGAACGGATCTCCTTGATATTCTCGATGGGGACTAAGTACGGGGATTAAGATGAGAAAGTGAAAAGAAACGAGGTAACACGTACTAATCTTGTGCTTCTTGCTCTCCCAAACGATTTGCCCAAGATCGGCGTCGAGTCGAAAGACGAACTTCTGGTGCTTCTTCGCAGACACCTTTGTCATCGGCGTGCCGAGTTGCAGAAGCTGTGGGACACGAATATTGCCAATCGCTGGCGAGCCAGATTCCAGAGTCGCCGTCGGGGGTTCAGCCACGCCTTCCGTTAGGATGGGCAATGGCGGCGGGAGGGTTGCCGGTAATCTTCCTGCAGCATGGCCATCATCCTCTCTTCCTTTGCCCTTCAAATCCACCACAACACCATCCGGCCGGTGCACAGCGACGGGCGGGCTGATAGACTGCGCCAGCACCGTCACATCCGACAATGAGCGGGAATGTGCCTTGCGCACACCTCTGCTGGGGGTTGGCATTGTTTCGCCTTGGGCGTTGAGAGAGTAGGAGCGGCCGAGCATCCGCGAACGGTCCTTCAAGTCTCGGAACTTGCGTTTGAGCGATGCCCGAAGCCCCGTCTTCGCGTCCCCACTCCGCTGCGGAGTCGATGTACAGTCGGAGGGTCCAGCGGAGGCAGATGACTCATCCCCTGGTTCAGAGTCAGGGCCATCTCTCGCAACTGCAGGGCGCCTCCTCGGCATGGTCTCTGAACTCGGTTCCACCTTCCCTCCCATCTCAACAGGTGCGCTCGCGGAATGTATAGGCAGGATGGGGCGACGACTGAGGCCTGTTGCGTCCGACATAGAACGTGAGTGTCCCTTGCTAGATCCGGCGCCAAAGGAGTCGTCTTGACTCGAACGGTCTTTGAAGTCGAGGAGCTTGCGTTTGATCGACGCCCGCAGGCCGCCTCTGCTTAAGGCCACGCCATTCGTCTGTTCTGGGATCGGCTTGGCATCTTGCGAGTCGTCAAAGAGGTCCGATGAACGTATGTCTTCCGCTCTACGCAAGCTCCTGCTTGCCTGGGCTGTCGTTGTTGGAGAGGCGGCTGAAGATGTGGTTGTAGCGGTTAAGCTCGATGTTGGGCACGACTCCGGAGGTAGAGCGGACATTGAAATTTTGTATCCGAGAAAAGGAGTGGACGGAGACTGAGTCTTCAACGAAGGAGGGAGAGGTGGCACGGAAGAGCGCGCACCAATCTATAACACTCTATAAGTCCCCTGGCTCCGGGCGGTGGTTGAAAAGAAAGAAAGCGTTCAGGAACGCGGCATAGTACTTACTTATACTGGGCTCGATTGTTCTCCGTTGTTACCGTCATCGTCACACACGATACGGTTATTTTAGCCCATCAATTCTCCCTCCTCGGTCAAGGTGCTTGTTGTTAGGCTTGGAATCAGCCTCACTATGCTCTTGCGTCCCTTCTGGGCTGCAGCGTTCCCCAAAAACCAAGGGAATCTGTGCCTCATTGCCTGGAGTGTGTGAGTCACCAGTGATCTTGAGCTACTTCTAGCATGATGGACTGCTGTCTTCGGTATCTCCCTATTAGAGCTTTTGCTCAACGGCTCCTCCAAAAAGCTGCAAGACCTACCACGTTCGACTCATGAGCGCCTGGCAAGGGACACCGTACTACTTACTTGTGATGGCTTAGGCGTGTGTGCGAGGTGTGCCCATCCTTCACGGATGGGGTGCTTCGATGTCCCAAGCACGAAAGCCCAGATGGCGCTCAACGTCCAATCTGCTGCGGAATGTCGGCAAGGGTGCTACTCACCTTCCTCCCATGATGTGTCTGCTGTCATGAACGTAACGACTCGAGAACAAGTAGGCTTTGGGGCTTCAATGTATGCGGCTGAGAAACGGCCAATCTGTGGCATTCATCAGTGCCGGGAAGCGTGCTTCACGGGGATGGAAATTAATATCACCGAGTTTTCCTTTCCTCATTGCAGGTCCTGCATCTGCGCCAGACTGAAAGCAAATTGGCCAGCCTCCGCACATGACTAGTTCCTCTCACAATCGACGAGCCTAGGATAATACCATAGTAAGTCTTGCGAATTTGGCCATTTATGATGAAACTCACTGGGCTTCGCTTAATCTGAGGGTTTTTAGAAAGGTGATAGGATTAAGTGGGCTTAATCTGATTAATCCATATTAAATGTCTCAACTAGTAGACTATTAGAAAGCATGATATATATACTGGATTAAACTGGATTAAATGGATTGAACGGATTGAACGGATTGAACGGATTGAACGGATTGAACGGACTGAACAGATTAAACTGCTGAACGTGTCACCGATGGAACGGCTCATTGTGCGTTGTCAGAAGGTGCTGACCTGCGAGCGTTGTCTCCGACCTGAGATACCTTAATGCTGAGACAAGAAACAGTGGCAAAGGGGAGGCCGCGGAAGTTGCCCTTGCAATGATAGAGGTAGCATGGGCAGCGGTTGGAGCAGATTGGTGAGATAAGAGGATGAATTAGGAGGAGCAGTCAAAGGATGGGGGATCTGCGCCAAGGGAAATGGTGAGACAGCAAACTCGCCTTTGCCCTTCTCCGAATCATCGGCTCTCTCACATCGTCTCAGCATCTTTTCGCCTCGTTCTCGCCCTTCTACCTCGCCTTCCTCTCACCATCTCTCATTCCACCATCATGGTGACGCAGGCAACGAGAACATTGAGCCGTGGCTGGACATGCCGGCGAGGTTGGCACTGGCGAGCTGTGCCTGGTCATGGTGGGCGTTGACCATGGTAGGCGTTGGCCGTGGTAGCGATGCTGGCGTCGCACTGGCCGCTGAATTGTGGACAGCAATGACATTTCGCAGTTGGTGGGGGTTGAGCCTATACGAGGCAGGAGCAGGTTCTTCGAACTGCATAGATAGCAGACTGGTGGGTTGAGGTGGTAGGCACAGGAGATGAGCATGGAACCTGAGGGATAGAAGTCAGTCTGCAAGGATAATAGGCACGAAATAAGAGGCATACTGTGCGGGTCTTGTGCTCCATGGATCTCCCCTCACTTCTCCACCATAAGTCCATCATTTATGGCCAGGAAAGGGCTAACATACCTGCTAAGAGGTGAGGGGGGAAGCAGGACAGCAGGGGGCACAAGAGACGGAGATAAACTAAAGATAAGGGCATGTTTGTTAGTAAAAGGAGGGCTGATATGTTTCAGATTTGGAATACATACCTTGTCGAAGTATCTTGTGCTGGTTTGAAGGCAGACGGGTAAGGCGATGGCGAGACGGTGGAGGCTGCGACGGTGGAGGTTCCGAGGGAGGCACCAACCTTAGCACAGCCACCCCAAGTTGAAGACCGAGCGACACGTGTTTCAGCAAGATCTAAGCCACTCCTTATATATCACCACAGGAGGGGACGGCGTTCAGCACGAATGACAAAAGGACCTAGAAAGAAACAATAGGATTGTGGCGAAGTGGCTCATCCTGCCACTCGGGCCTCTTTTGATGAGCCACAAATAGATTGCCAGGTCATTATAAGATGGGGAGTTCTCCCAGCGCATTTTTCCTGTCCCCCCAGCATTATGCCAGTTCGCATTCCTCCCCCAACACCTCCTTGGTGTTGGTTCCAAGTTTCAGGTTTTTTTCTTTGCATTGCGACCCAGTGACAATTATTTTCATTACTAATTCATTACTAATTGTTAATCCTACCGCTGCCTGACCTTTGGGTAGCTGATTGTTGTTCCTACATCCGCCGCCATACCTCTACCGGGAAAGAAGACAAAGTGGGTATTCTGGTGGTGCGCTTTGTACATGTTCGACCGCATACTTTGCAAGTGTGAATGAGTGCCTTCCTCGTGCCGCTGCATCCTCTTGATTTAATCCTCTGTCATTGCTTAAACCAGATCATCAGTTTAATTGAGCTGAATCTGTTTAATCCGATTAAACAGATTTTCTTGTTGCTCTTCGTCTTCCAACGCTCTCAAGTCGCTTAATCCAAGTTGACCGGTCGCGTTGTTTCACTCCAAGTTTCCATTACGGTTTAATCAGACTAATCTGTTTAAGCTGTCCTAAATTTTAATCTGTTTAATCTGTTTTTATTTTTTAATCCGTTGAGTGCTGCCATGTAAAGAGTAGATAATTATTAGACAAATGTGTTTTGACCTTTCGACAAGATTAATCGGATTAAGTCACCTTAATACTGGATGACTGTCCGTAAGGTATTTATTCCACAGTAGAATATTTCATAACAAAGTCGGACCTCAAATTCAAAGATAATCTTATAATCTATTCATCTGATTAAACCGCAAGCCTCGTGATTAAAGATAATTGTCATTCCCTGGGCCTCCACCCATCTCTAGCCAGCCATGAATGAAGATGCACTCATATTCCAACAATTCACAGAGCAACTTGAAGAGGAGGCAGATGAAGAGTACTGGGAGATGGGTGCTGCTTCACTCGGCGTCATAGTGGGAGGTGCCGAGATCTCACGTCAGTTACGGAATGAACGACGTCGTGAAACCCGCCAATATCTTACCCGCCCTGAACTCCTGGAGAACCCCCAGATTGCGACACCATGGACCTCCCTTTACGACAGCAGGAGTGACCGTGCATATATCACAACCATGGAGTTTGATGTTGCCACCTTCAATTTCTTTCTCGAGTCAGGTTTTGTACAGACCTGGCTCTCAACACCCATCCCCCGAACTGATACCTCTCGTTCAGGAGATCCACGACCAGGCGGCCGATCTTTGGATCCCCCAGGGGCCCTTGGCCTTGTCCTCCATTATCTCAGCTCCACAATGCTCGACGTCAGCTTGCAGCAAATCTTTGCTCTCATCCCTGCCACAGTTGTCCGGTATCTTGACTTCTCACTTGACATACTTCTCGAGGTCTTGTGAAGAATGCCAGATGCCCGTATCAAGTGGCCGAAGGGTGGCCCAGGTGGTGGGCAATTCCAAGAATACAATGATCTTATCATTGTTCGACATCCTCGACTGATTGGGGCCTTTGCTGCCATCGACGGATTGAATCTTCCTGTCCAAACATCGGAGGATGAAGATATTGAGAATGCTACCTACAACGGGTGGCTCTCAGAGCATTTTGTCAGCTCAGTACTTGTGTTCTCACCGAAAGGCAAGAACATCAATGCTATTGTAACTTCATTCACTGATAATATCTTAGGTGAAATCATTGATGCTGTTGTAAATGCACCAGGCAGTTGGCATGATGCTAATGTTGCTCATCCTATTTTTGAACGGCTTCACACACGAACACCACCTGGATACTACCTCATTGCTGACACAGCATTTCCTCGTGGAACACAATCCATTGCAGGACGCATTCGCGCCCCGCTCAAGGCTGGCCAGGCTGTGCGAGGTACGCCAGACGAGATTGCGGAGCGAATGGCCTGAGCTTCTACTCGTGACGTACGCTTGAGGTCTTCAAGGAGCATTTGGTCGTCTCCGTGTTCCACTTCCCATTGACAATGCAGAACGTCGAGGAAATCTCCTTGAGATCTGCAATCGCCTCAATAATCTGCGCACAAGACGAGTGGGAATCAATCAGATCTGGACTGTATACATGCGATACTGGCAGGACACAGCTGAGGACATTGATATCTGGCAGAACTTTGAGAATATGCTCTTCTCAGATCAACGAAAGAACGATAGAGTTGCTCGCTTCCATACTTACGCAGAATACATGTAAACAGGTTTGTATTACAAGCAGGTGTATGGTAATTGTAACGGAACACAACAAGTAACAGAACATAAGTGTAGACAGAAGTAGATGTTGCACTACTCTACTCGTCCTTGGGCCCATCAGCATCCTTGACGTATATATCGTCATTGTCACCCTCCTCACCATCTTGGTCCTTGCCAGCTGTGGCAGTGGCAGCATTGGGCTGGGAAGTAGTCAAAGCTTGCAACTCTATGCCAAAGTGATGGCCTGACGACGACGACGACGAAGGCTGGTCTCTATAGTCAATGTCACAGCGGCGACGGAAGAAATTGGGGTCCTCGTTCTCCTTATCACTCTCACCCGAGGTAGAGGAGGGATCCGTTAGTCATACCTCCCTCCGGGTA